TAATAAATCGCGCGCGCGTGTGTATTTTTGTGTATGTGTTTTTTATGTATGTCTGCCTTACATCGACGGTCTGCCCCCTATCGCCAATCCCTCGAAAAAGAATAAAAACAAAAAGAATCCACTGCTCATCTACTACAATATAATAGTAAATTATTAATATTCATTATTATTATAATGTTTATGTGTTTTTTATATAATTATTATACTTTTTTATTTCATCAATTATGTGTCTAAAATCGGTCTGAACCGGCTTCACGTTAAAGCTAAAGAGTCGACAACGCTTCCGAAAATCCGCTACAAATAATAGTAATCGTTAGGATAGTAACAGTGATAAACTATAAGCAGTTATCAAACGAATTATTCATGCAAAAATGTACTACGAATAGGTTCTTTATTTACTTTTTTTATATCATCTATTTCTATCGTTTCTGCGGGTTGTAAGTTGTTGCTGTTATTAAATGGACCGCAGGACCGCATTATTATTTTTTTTTTCGATTACGCAGTTGTTATCTACTCTATTAGATGTTCTTTTTTTTTGTCATACGTACGTATCCACCAATCGAGAAAAACCCCTACAAAGGATAAGGCTTCTCCTGCTTACAAAGTTGGTTGATATATTTTTATACTTTTACATAATAATTATTTTAAATAAATCAGCGTACGGTTGCGGTTACTGGTTCCATTTCCCACCCAATCCAGTCCATCCCTAAAATTTCGATTTTAGTTAATTCTGTATACAGAAAATCATAATTCAGAACCCTTAAGAAATACCAGACAAAATGATAAAGTTCATTCAATACAGGCGCACCCATTAAAACTGGAATTTTGTATTATACAAAAATCAAGTTTAATATTCACTTATTACCTCTAACTAAAATAAAGTTTGTATCTCAGTTTTAATAGACAACGAGTAAGACAGTTGTTTGTATTAATTTACTCAAAAAACAAAAAAATTACATATACACTTGTTGCAAAAATCTAATTGTATAGCGGAGCAATACAAAACTGTATCGTAAATCATAAAAAGCTTCATTTTTTCCTTCAAAGTAATAGGGACAATAAGTCGAAAGAGGCTTGTAAACTTACGTGATTTTTGTCCTGCAAGTCGGCGATATTGGGGCGCGGATCCCATGGTGGCTGTTCCATTTTTAAAGCGTCTGGTTGCCCATAATCCAACGGATGCATGTTGGCCTGATGCTGCAGAAGGAACGCTTGGAGGAAAGGAGCGCTGCTGGAGAAGGCGTGAGGATTTTCAACAGGCAGCCCTTGCTATACAAATAAATATAATATAGTGATGTTTTTGTTGTAACTATATATTTACTTTAACTTTACCTGGTAGGAATCCATTGGGTGCGTCATATAATCGGCTTCCATTTGATTCCTTATTACAGGATAGCGATCATAATTGCCTATGCCACTCCAGGGTCTGCCAACTACCATCTTGGATTCGTTCCCAAACATCCAACTACTACTTCCACTACTATCTACTAGAGGATTTTGCGACTTGCGTGCTCTCTCAGTGCCTATGGGCTGAGGTGGTTTCCTGTTATCATCAACGTAATGTCCTGTGCCATCACTTAGATGAATGTTATGGGAAGAGGGCAGGTTAGGAGACATCGCAGGCGATCCGTTCACAGTTGTTAGATCGGCCCCATTTTCCAGTATGTCTCCGCCAGTCGCTCGGGCAATGCTATGTAACGTCATGCCCGCCATACCACTCATCAATTCATTCTGCTGTTGTTGAGTGAAGGGCTGTTGCATAAGAAGCCACCTATTATGTGGAGAAGGCGAAGAGGCTCCAGGTTGCGGTTGTTGCTGTTGGCGATGATAGGTTCCAATGGCGGCAGCTGCAGCGTTCTTGGTCATTTGTTGCTGATAACCGTTGAACATGTGCGCTGGATGTTGTTGTTGCTGTTGCTGTTGTTTTGCGTGTTGCTGCTGCTGCTGCTGCATTGAACTAGCAAAGTCAGGAGCTTTGGGATTTAGTCGAGACATGGTAACCGACGGCGTGGATATCGGTGCCACTTGTTGTTGAGAGTAACTCATATGTTGTTGCTGTTGCTGATGATGGTATGAGGAAAGTAAATGTTGCTGCTGTTGTTGTTGGGCTGCTGCGGCGGCAACAGCAGCTTCCGTGGCCGAGTTCATAGTCAAAAGACTATCTGCAAAATTCGCGGATACTGATTTATACAGTGTGGTATCGGAATGCGCAAGATGATGCATCGAACGCGATGTAGGCGCCGGTGGTAGATGAGGGTCGGCAGAACCACCCCCGTTTGAGTAGAAATGTTGCTCCGGCTGTTGAGGCTGTTGCTGCTGGCCGTTGTTTGTTGCTGAAGGTACGCGTCCGTGAATCATATTCGTACCGATTGGAGCTAATTGCGGTTGATTTTTTGGCGATTCGAAACCTTGGTAATTGACGACCGACGCAGAAGACGACGCCGCCGGTAAACTTGGAGGTGTAGTGCTGTTACTGCTCGTTTTCGATGAAACCGGCGAACACATAGCGTTGCTATTCGAATTTCCGCTACTGGTTTGTCCACCGCGATAACCAGGTGCTTTAGACGCGTCCACTTGTGGAGGTGGATCATTATCGATGAATTTAGGTGGGGTGGTTGATTGCGAGATACCACCGCCGGTTACGGCCGCGAAGTTTACTGGCTGTTTGTGAGATTCGCTCTCTTGACGCCACGTTGGCTGTTGAGCCATCGAGTTAAACAGCGAGTACTCTTGCGTTGTTAACGTTGTCGTTCGACACGTATCTTCAGCCGTCTTCAGGGCACTGGTTTTTAAAGAACACGTCCCACTATTGGCCGAGAATGGGAGCATTTTAGCCACGCTTTGGAACTGCTGGAGACTCGGAGGCGCAGAAGCCGTAGGTGGTGGTCGGTGGTGCTTCGGTGAACAAGTGAGAACAGACTGTTGCTGCTGCTGCTGGTGTTGCTGTTGTAAAGGCGACGATGGACCGGTGGAACCTTGCAGAGGAACATTAAGGGAATTTTGGGTGGCAGTTTTCGATGGTTTGGGACCGCCACCTAGGCTCATAGAGTTGGTAGCAGACGCAGTAACGGGGACGTGGTGCACAGACGTTGTTTCTGTTAGTTTGGCAGCAAATGTTTGATTTGCAGAGGTGGTTACTAATTTAATAGGGCCACCGCCGCAGGCACTTCCACGACCCCCTGGAAGCAAATTTGATGTTAAATTTTAAATATAACATAAAAAAACTACAATTAAGTACCTGACGCTGATACTATGGCGGAGGTGGTATATGACACAGTGTTCTTAGTGTTGGCAATTTGAGCGGCAGCCGCAGCTGCTGCAGCTGCAGCTGCGTTTCTTTCAGCCTGTGCAACTAGTCGAGGTGCAATAACTCGTGTTGCTGATGATGTGACTGTGCCTCCGCCTCCGCTTCCACTACTTCCTCCTCCGCCGCTTCGTGTTTTAACCGTCGTTGATGCTTTCGCGGTTGTTGTAGACGCTGTTACCATAACTGTTTTGTGTTGGACAAACGTTGTAGCAACCGTTGAGTGTGACACTGTTACTACCTTACCGGTTACTTTTTTAGTCTACAAAGATAAATAGTGGTTTAATAAAAATCGAAAAAGAATAATCATTATAAACTTACCCCTATCTGTGTTTTATCCCATAATGTTGTTGCAGTGGTGGTGGTTTTCGTTGTTTTTGGTAGCATTTGCAAAATATCCACGTCTGGGTCTTTGATTAAGGCTGCGATCAATATGTGGGCTTGTTTTGTAGCTTCAGATGATCCCCTAGATTATTATTTAATTTTAGATAAATAAACAATTAATATTTAATAAAAAGTAATCTTACTTTATAGTAATGATTCTTTCTCCTTGTCCCTTGCTCTGTTTCTCGACTTCAATATGAGCACCTGTAGCTCCTCTAATGGCATTAATATTACTACCACCTCTTCCTATCACTCGTGAGATTGCGTTGAGTGGTACCGAAACTTTTTTCACACCGACTATGTCAGCAACTCCGCTACCAGCACCACCAGCACTAGTACTCGCAGCTATCGTTTGTACCGATGATTTTCGTACCACTTCCTTCCATCCCTCTTCCCTTTTGTTGTTCGATTGCTTTGGACTGGTAGACGAACCTGCGCCACTCTTCGACGACGATTGAAGCGATATCGAATCGTTGTCGTGACTTGTACCGTGACTCTTTCGATTTTTGTTAGATACGTACGTTTCGTTACCGGTGGCCTGGAAATCTTCACGTTCCGCTGGGTGTTGTTGTTTCTTTACGTTACTGTTTTGATATAAAATGGAGTTTTTGATGGTAGTGTAGTTGTCGTTAGAAACCTTGTCATGCTTGATGTTATTGTTATTATTACCGGCGCTACCTGAAGACGTCAAATCTTTGTTTATATTCTCTTTATTAGCTTTTTTGTTTGCGGCAGATGAAGTTTTCTTTTTCTTTTTATCTTTACGTTTCTCTTTAGTTTTAACTTCGTTGCTCGAGCAGCTCCCTTGACTGTTGGCGTCTATGCCACTGTCACCTTCTTCTTTGTCGATCATCACTTCGGGAGCGTGTAAAGGCGATTCAGATCCGCTCGTTTCATTTATCACGTCATCATCGTCACCTTTGTCGTTCTCCTCCGATTTCTTATCATCGTTATCATAGTAATCATCGTTCTTTTGGTTATCTTTATTCAGTTTTCGTTTTTCTTCTCGTTTTTCGAGCTTCTTCTTTTTCTTTCGTTCGCGCCTGCGCGCGGCCGCTGCTTTTTTAGATTCTTCCCGGTTTTTTTCCATGTCAAGTTCTTCGAGGAGTATGGATGCATTCTTATTTGCTTTTGCAGCTTGCGTCTCTTTGGCTGCCCTAATTACCTTTACACATTCCTGACATTTTTCGAGAAGTTCTTTGTCACTAATGGTAGAAATGTAGCGAATCATTTCCTGATCACTAGGGAACTGTGTTACGTGGTTTACCATCCATTTTACCACTTTAACATGTCCCTTACGGAAAGCCGCCATAAGACAAGACACCTTGCGGTTATCTTGTGAATCTATGTCTGCGTTTAGGTTATACAGGAGTTCTACAACACTCAAATGTCCGCCGTTTGCTGCAAGCCATAACGGCGAGTTACCCTTCTTGTTTTTGACCTCAACGGCTGCACCACGACAAAGCAACAGCTCGACAAAACGACAATGACCTTTATCCGCTGCTATCGTGAGGGCAGTGTCTCGCGAAGAGGGTACTGGGGCCGCATTAACGTCTGCGCCTTTATCTAGAAGTACCCGACCCACTTCTACGTAACCACCGCTTGCGGCTTCCATTAGGGGTGTTAGACCAGTCTAGAGAAGCCGGCAATAATTAAGAGTCAGATAAATTGTACAATAAAAAAAAAAAAAAATACATTACCTTAGCCCGGTGTTCGACATTTGCTTTTCGGTCCAAAAGGAGACTGACTACTTCGTGTCTTCCTTGGAAACAAGCCAGAGTGAGAGCGGTGTTCCTGTTAGTTTCAATCTGGGCGTTGATGTCACTTCCACAGTCCAAAAGGAGTTTAACAGCAGCAGTATGTCCATTCATTGCCGCCAACATAAGGGGTGATATACCTAATTTACTTCCAGTGCGCGAGTTTATTTCGGCGCCGTGGTTTAAGAGGAGTTTAATAATATTCACATATCCACCAGATGCAGCTAAACTGAGGGGGGTGTAATCGGAAACGTTACGATGCTCTTTATTTGCTCCCCGGTTCAGAAGAAGTTCTACTACCTAGTAACAGTTAAGAAAAGTGCATATTAAATAGTGAAATTGATTAGAAATTTGCAAAACATACCTCATATCGTCCACCGGAGCATGCAAGGCTTAACGGGGTGTCTTTCGTTCTTTCGGATTGCGCTTCGATGTCTGCGCCATTATTCAGAAGAATTTCAACGACCTTATCGTGACCTGCGGTTGCAGCCAAAATGAGAGGAGTGAACCCTTTCTTATCGCGATGTTCTTTATCTGCTCCTCGCCTGATTAGCAGTTCGACCAGTTCCTCATGACCTCCTGCACATGCCAACGTCAATGCAGTATCATGGTTGCTTTCTGTCTCTGAATCCAGGTCCATACAATAGTTGAGCGCTGGCTGCTGTACGGTACCACCATTTCCACCACCTGCAGCAGCCCCTACGCACTGTTGATTTGCTGTAGAAAAAACAGGACATTTTTACAAGTTAATTTTTTTAATGATGACGATGAAAATAATATTAAAATTAAATATCATTTTCATTTTTACTAACCTGCATTAGCATCTATTTGAAAGTTCTGGCCCTGGTTTTGTGGAAAAGAATTAGTCTGGGGACCATTAGCCTGATTCCTGAGTAAAAGTCTGTTCTTCTTTACTTTGACGTTTTCCTGCGTGGAGGAGATTGCGACTTTTGTTTGTTTTCGATTCTCGGGGGCTAAAGGTGACGGTTGGGGTGTTTGGGTCGCCGCCTGTACTTGGTGTGTGTGCTGCTGTTGTTGCTGCTGCTGCTGTTGGTGAGCAGCGAGGAGATGCTGGTGATTGGCACAGGGCACCTGGCAGTGATGGGATGTCGGGACCGTGCTGCTAGTTGGAACATGATGGCATGCCTGCACAGGAGTGCATGTAGATTGGATTGCGGCTACGTACGGTTGAGACGCAGGACTTCCGGCAAGCGTCACTACCGATGTCGGAACGCCTGTGGTTAGAGTGTCTCCCGAACTTGCTGTAAAGAATAATAAACTTTATAGTGTCGTTTTTATTGTTTTTTTTGTAATTCTTACCCAATTGTTGCTGTACTATGTTCATGCCGGCATGGAATCCAGCCTGGTAGATAACCCCCGTTTGGTCCTTATTTGACATTGATGCGACAGCTTGTAGATAGTGATCGTACGGATATAATGTATGTTGAACCTAAAAATGTATATACATAAAGTTGCTATAAATAAGTAAAGTTTTCAGAAATGTACATATATAGTTAAAAAACTGACCTGTACCGGCAATTGAGCTGAATTGGCAGGTATGAAATATTCAATTCGAGAGCCATCAGTTTGGGTGGTGAGTTCATGTTGGGCTGTTAACGAGGTCAGAACGGACTCTTCTAAACCAGGCGTGTAAGGCTGTATCTAAAAGAAATATTTAGTAATTTTAACGATTAACACATTCTACTATCTAATTAGTTGTTATTGTTTTAATATTTTATTCGGTAAAAAGCAAACGCCACTCAACAAGACACGTTACCTGAACTTTATGTTGCTGTTGCTGCTGTTGATGTTGTTGATTATTAACCTGTTTTGTGAAGTCATTAATTTCGTAAGAGTCTAGGGATTGAACGTCATCTACTAAGTCGTTAGGAAAGGGTGTTGTTTTCGCGTCTGCGCCCCTGTTCTTTTGCTCCAGATAAGCCTTGGTGGACGTTTCAAGAACTTGTTCGTACAGTTCAACGCAAGTCTTTTGTTCCGTGCGATTCTGCTGAATCTGAATCGAAAATAGCACTCTCTTACGAACACACGCAACAAAAAAACGAAGCATACGAAAAAAAGGCGTAACTGCCAACATCAGGGTGTCATGAATCAAAAATTGTTTGTGAGATGTGCGGGGCGATGTTCACTGAGGTTATGTCGGTTAGTTTTGAGTTAGTAAAACAAAAATAAAAAAAAGAAAGGCAAAAACAGGTATCGAAAAAAACCAAACTCAAAACTAAAATGGTTTTGTACAATTGTCAAAAATGCAAGTCAATTCTTAATTGCTTAATAAAGACACATTAATTAAAAGCGAAAAATAAATAAATACCATAATCAATGTAATAAATTATATAGGTATATTTATCATGATAATTAATGTGTTTTTATAGAGCATGAAGGTCAAACATATAGATTTTATGAAGAAGGGAAAGGGGAGAAAGAGTATTTGAAAATGTAGAATATAAGGAGGCAAGAACTTTTACGAGGGAGGAGTATGTGCTTAATAGGCGCTAAAAAAACACTCTTGCAATTAGGATTGATGATCAAGCGGTGTGTCAAGGGGCGCAAAAAGTAAAGGGTAAAAAATGAATCGATGATTGTGATTGGTTGTACCTACCGGTGAACCGACAAAGGCCGCCCTTATGGTGCTTATCTGCTGGGAATTGTGAAACTGTTGTAGAATTGAGGCGGTTAATAGATTCGATTGCTCGTCGCTTTTCAAACTAAGTGCATCCTGATCGAGAGAGTCGATGTCCAAATTTTGGATGTTCAGAGCATCGCCAACATTCGATATCTGGGTCTGTTGCTGCTGTTGTTGTTGTTGTTGTTGTTCTTTGGCGACGAACAACTGGGACAATTGGGACTGCTGTTGGGTGTAAACGGCCGTTTGGTACTGCTGCTGCTGCTGTTGATCTTGACTTACTTGTTGTTGTGGTGGTTGTGGGGGTGGTTGCTGTTGCTGCTGCTGTTGTTGTTTGCGCAGATTTTTACCTTCTTTCTTTGAAACTGGCTTTGCTTTGGGCCTATCACTGATCGCAGTGTTCTACAAAAAGTAAACGGGACGCCGTTAACTTCGGATCGAGGTTTTAGGGGGAGTAAGGAAGACAAGGAGGGCACGATAATGCAATTTCGACTCTGTAATTTAATCAATACGATCGATTTAAAGATAATATTGTTATAAGAGGACAACGAGATCTACTCATTTACATATGGGATTATCCATCGAAGACACAACCTCAAAACATTTCTTCCCCTATTTTTCTTAAGCAAAATTACATGTCTTATTTGTGATTTACCTGACTAACTTCGGCGTGAGCTGCAACAGTTGGGAACTTGGGATGCGGTAGAATCGAGTTGGGCACTGCAATGGGTCCATGCAAGGGGGCGAAATAATAGGCGGACGGCGCTTGCGCTGCATTAAAATTACTCGTCGCGTCACCTCCGGCTGGAACTGTGTTGGCGTTTCCACTAGTCGCTCCGCTCACACTTAGTTTAAGAGGTACGGCAGGTAGACAAGTAGGGCCTGCGTAGAAAGTATTGTGGACTTGTAGGTTGGTGTTTGGAGAGAATACTGAAGATGATGGCATTACGCCAGTACCTAGCCCTGACGTAACGAAAAAGAAACTGTTTTTTTTTTTCTTTCTTTACTGTTCTATTTTGCGAGCAATAGATACAATGCCACGCAGTTAAAATAAAAACTAATAAAAGTTAGGTGCAAGCTGTTAATGATGAGAACAACAAAAACAACTCAGTAAGCAAACAGATTATGAAGTGAAGCCTAGAATTGCGTGAAAACAACAACAGTTTCATTACTGTTTAGGTTGTTACAAATATCAAGCTTTGATGGCAAATTATTTGTTAGTTTTTAACTAATTTTGTAAAATTATAGAATTATAGCACATTCAGTGAACTTACAATTGTAAGTCGTAAAAGTTTTGAACAGCTCAATTAACAGTTTTATATATTACAACTGTATTATATTCACTAAATGAGCCATACTAAATTGGAACAACCTTTATGTTATAGATATTTCTTTCTTGATAAATGGGCTAGGGTACTGACACAAAATGAATGTTGCATAATTAAAAATCAAACATTTTCCAAGCATTTTCATACAACAAAAATATATATTGTTTATTTAGATAAAATGAATATTTCGTAATTTCAAACCAAATTTGAAAAATTAAAGTAGACAATTTGTGAATAAAGCTCGAAAACACTAATATATGAATCTACTGAAACGGTTTTAAAGTGTAATTTATTGTTATATATTTGAATAAGAAAACTAATTTTTTGATGAAAAGGCACTAACAATGGTAATATTAGATATAGAAATCATGAAAAGCGTTTTTCATTTAATCAAATAGTGCAAGCCACGTAATGTTATTAAACTTCATCTACTAAGACAATTAAAAATAAATAGCAGCAGATAAAAGCAACAATGTTATTACCTTGCTGCTGTTGCTGCTGAATCTGTTGTTGCTGGGTTTGCTGTTGTTGCTGTTGCTGGGCTTGTTGTTGTAATTGCATTGCTATCTCCAGGCTCAGCATATGAGGCACGGTGGCATTTGCGGCCCCACTTTGATCCTGTGGGATGGCAAATTGAGATAGAAGCAAATTACTGGCTTGTTGTTTCCCATGAAAATCCCTTTCAACTTGCTAAAATAAGAATTGAAAAACTTATTACTGACAAATTTAACAATAAGTTAACTTCAACTTACATGTAATTCTTCTAATATCTGTTGTTTTTGCGTGGAACCGTCGTCTGTTAGGGGTGGCGTAATACAGTTCTGCATATTTTTCCTTTTCTTGATGTAGTCAATGATGCTGCCACCGCCACTATTCGGGTCTTCGTTCAAGAATTCGCTATCTTCGAGATCGCTCAAGTTTGGTATCTTTTCGAGGTTTTCGGCGACAATGTCGGGCGTCATATTTGGAACAGAAGTCCGCCTCTTCGGCGTCCCCGACTTTCTCGCGTTCTTCGACGCCGTATCGTTGGTTGTTCGCAAAGATGGTGACGTCTGTTGCTTATTATTGATGACTTCGTTAACGTTTTGATTCTGTTCTTCCTCAGACACTATTCTAACCGCTTCGGGCACCTCCTGGAGCACGGGTGATGTGATCGTGGGCGGCGGCTGGTAAAAGTTCAGGTTTGGAGGAAGAGCGGTCGCAGGGATGGGAGAGTCACGGTTACCCGGCAACACCGTGGGGGCAGAACCTTGTTGACTTAAGAGGACCGAATGTGGAAAGTCTAGTAACAGTTGGACGACAGTTGTGTGGCCCCCCTTAGCCGCTTCTATGAGCATCGTGGAGTTGTCTTTGAGCTTATGATTAGGATCGGCGCCGTGCGCGAGCAAAAGTTCGACCACAGGGAGATGACCGCCGGCGCAAGCTAACGATAGGGGCGTGTGATCGTTGTTCGACGTTTGTCGGTTTACGTCGGCTCCTTTTGTGATTAAAAATTGAACCGTACACAAGTGACCAGCACGACACGCTTTCATTAGCGGTGTTCGGCCCCCTTCTGATTCGTGTTCCTGTAATATTATAAAATAAAATGAACAACTTAAAAAATTGTTTTTTAAAATCAGTATCAAATTAATAAATATATCGTGTATCTTTACCAGATCAGCGCAGTATTGAAGTAGAAGGTCGGCAACGTCTGTATGTCCGTTCTCACAGGCGTAAGTGAGGGCTGTGTCCCCGGTTTGGGTTTGGGCTCTAACGTTTGCGTTATTCTCTAAAAGGTACTTGACAAGTTCTAAATGTCCCTCTTGGGCTGCTTCCATTAAAGGGGTGGAAGCTCCCAGTTCGATATCGGCGCCAGCCTTTATTAGAAAGTCGGCAACTTCGCTAAAACCTCCACAGCAAGCCAACGTCAATGCTGTTTCTTGGGTCTCATCCGTTTGTGCATTGATGTTAGCACCTAGATAAAAATACGCGAGTCCACATAAATTACGTTATTAAATGTACGGATCTGTTTATTAAATCAGATTAGTACATTGATAAAAGGAGAAACTTTGGTGAGTAATTAACAAACAGGAACTTTTTCTTTCCTCTACACAACAACAATTGGGTGTGGTTCAAGGGTAAGAAACTTCTTGTTTATTAGTATTAGTACATGTAAAAAAAGGCAGTTTTCTTAAACATTTCTAATACTTGTAAGTTCTAAACACTATGAAGATTGTAGAATGACCACAAGGTAATCACAACAAATTGACGATTTGGCAAATTAATAATTGTCAAAACTATGTTTTCAGGTTAAACACCCGTCAAACTGATTTGAAATGAAATGTACGTTACAAAAAAAAAACAAAAGAACATCAAAAAATTAATAAAATAGTTAGGTTAACTTAATGCCATAAGGGCGGTATAATTTGAACGGTTATTGATCAGGTCATATCATGCTTATAATTTTAAAGTGTTTTAAACAATTAAATCTTCATAACTAATTTATTTACTAGAAAAACGATAACGTACCTTGACTTAAAAGGAGAGCTACCATTTCTTCGTGCCCTTCCCGCGCTGCTTCCATTAGGGGGGTGTATCCTTCATCGTTAACTTCTTCAATGTTGGCTCCCCTTTCTATGAGCAGCATAGCAAGATCTACGTGACCCCCGCAGGCAGCTAATGTGAGGGGCGATTCGAAACTATCAGCGGGCATATTAACTTGAGCACCTGAGTCCAAGAGGAGTCGCGCTACTTCCACATGTCCGTCCATACTAGCTTCCATGAGGGCAGTGTGCATCTCATCTGTCTTATGCTCCTGGTCGGCACCGGCTTCCAGCAAAAATCGTACCATGTCCAGGTGTCCCTTGTAACATGCTGAAAGAACAAAAAATATATTAAAAGGGATGTACAAAGGGTGTGAGAGGTTATTATTACGCCTACCTAACGTTAGAGCAGTCTCTTTGAATTCGTTAGAGTGGGTATTAATTCCAGCTCCGTGCATTAGGAGGATCTTGGCCAGTTCCACGTGGCCAGCACTGGCAGCTTCCATTAGGGGCGTGTGACCATTCTCATTATGATCTTCTACATTGGCTCCGTGTTCGAGAAGGAACTTTACCACTTCAGTGTGTCCACCAGCACACCCGTACATTAATGGTGTGTTTCCTAAGCAGAAAAAGTAGATCAAATGAGAAACCTTGTAGCAGGGATGTGTTAAAAGGATAAAGGATCAATTGAGAGGTCTTCTTATTACCTGAGGATGATTGTGCATTCACATCAGCTCCGTGGGCTACAAGTAAACGCACGATGTCCAGATGACCAGCCGATGCAGCCTCCATTAAGGGAGTGCATTCTCCCTTGATCCCCCGATCTTCAACATTTGCATGCATTGCTAATAAAACCTGCAAGCAGAACAGAATTAGTATCAAAAGTTAATACAAATAGAGACTTCAGAGGTTAATAGTCGAGATTACCTGAGCTAATTCGAAATATCCTGCGCTACAGGCAAGTGACAGTAAGCTTTCGCCCTCCTCGGACGTTTCGTGCACCGATCGGCCTTCGGTCAGCAGTTTCCTAACCGTACCGACATCACCGTCGGTGCAAGCTTCGACCAAGGATGTTTTTTCGGGCTGGTTGCGCGGATTGTCGGTACGCATACGCGTCAAAGCCGCGGCCGCCTCGTCCAAAGCACACGAGACACTCGAGGTCAGACGTCTTAACACTTCCGGGTCGGCTAGATGTTTCCCATCCTTAGCTGCTAACTGACTTATACCTGTAATAAAAAAAAACAGCATTCTTAATTTTATCCTCAATGCATTTCGGCCAATGATCATTTATTAAATGCCCCGATTGGCTCAAAAAAAAAAAAAACTAAATAAAAAAAGAACGTCTAAAATAAATGATAGTTGAGAGAATGTTTGTTTGTTGACAGCGAGTACTTTAATCCCACAAAATGACGTTTGTGTACACACACAGGAAGTCTAATAATGTTTGTGAATAAATGAAGAGTCAGTTTTAGTTGATACGTCGAGCGTATGACCGATTTCATATTCCCGCCCGTTATATTAAAAGTTCAAGCTCATTCTTTCGGTGCTGTAATTGAAAGTTGATTCTTTACGTGCACATGTTTTTATATGTGCGAGCGTGTATTATAGTTGTATGGATGCCACCGAGGTGTTTAAAACGATTGTGTAGACCTTGAATAAAAACTGCAGCGAAATAATTACAAAGTTTCAAGACGCGACCTAATCGATCAATTGAATATTTCAGACTGAAATTACGGGAATTCACTTGTTTGTGTTGAGCAATTTATAATTGAAACGTATTTTGTACCTTCAATAAATACCCGCCTTTTAATAACAGAAAAATTAATGTCTTACTAACAAACAAAATAAGAGACAATGTACAGTATTATCTTCCTAACGTAAAAACAAATGCAAAAAAGTTGCATATTTACAGAAACACTTGAATGCATTTGTTTTCTAATAATGCAGAAAAACAGAATTCCACTGAATGAATTGAACAAACGCAACGCGACGATAAGTTCGACATGCGCAAACAATTTATTGTTTTATTCGGTCCTCGGTAAAGATATGTAATTTAAATTTGAAGTTTGCTCTCATACTGAATACTTGATTCCGTCACACGCTGAATTTTTAATAGAACCTTCGAAATTGCGACGAAATTGAAACAAGTCGTTTTTATCGCAGGTTATTGTACTCGTTTCATACAATTCTTTTCTCTCAATCGCAAAACTGTTAATTCAAAATAATGGCATTCCGGTTGTTGTTGTTGTTGGGGCTCGACAAAAGTCGAAATTGACAAACGTCTTATCTGAAAAAAGTATAATGGTCTTTAATGGTATCACTACTTTTAAGTGTTAGTCTGAAACTATGTATGAGTTTACAGGTACGTGCAAGGTGGGAAGATATTTTAATTAATAAAAAAAAAAAATCGCACCTGCAGCTTGCAGTACAGCTTCTAAACGTGCTTGGGTTTCTAAATCTACAGATCTATCTTCTTCAGGGCTGAGAAGAAATTTGGCAGTTTCAACTTTCGGGTCTTCTTCAAATTCCTGATCAATAACAAACGACTCCACCTGTAGAAATAACAAAAAAATAAATAAATTATTATTGCTCGTATCTTTATTGTAATACACAATAATTTCGGTGCCACAGTTTAAGGTACAAAAATAATTTAACAATAAAATCATCACTTCTTAACCATAATCAACATTTCTATACACAATGCAATACATTTTATTACTATTTCGAAAAGGAATAAACACGCATTTATTGGTAGAATGTATTAAAGAGGAAAATAACACACACAAAATATAATATGATCATAAACGATCTGTTTTATGCATGTATATGAACAATCACTCGTTTGCAGTTGTTAATCACAAAGTTGGCTATGTACTTTTGGCATCAATCTGATATTTAAACAGTTGATTTAGATCGGGCTAATTTTGCAAATGTTTTTATAAAAATAATGATCTCTATAGGTAAATTACAGATTCATGAATAAATGCAAAAAATTTGTAGGAAGTGATAACAAACTGTACACATATTATGTGTAGGTTCATAGTCTCAACACAGGAAATCACATTTATAGAGTTCAATCAAAACAGGCATAAATTATGCGCGTTTAAAAGCGCAGCGCGTTTTAATCGAATCATTTATTGTAATCAAAAAGAACTTTTCTGAATGTGATACCTTAAAAAGATAATAAATAGTTTTAGATATAGTTTAATAATAAAATAGTTTGTAAATTAAAGCCACGTCACTTCATAAAATAACTCTGCGTACTTTACGTTTTAAGTACCCACAGTCTATCTGTTCAATTGTCTGTATCAATTAAATAAGCAATGTAAGAAAAACAGATGAATAAGTAAAACAAAACGTTCCTCCAATTGTTTAAATATTTCACTGTTTTATATCAAAATTAATATTGAAAATTATTTACGACGTATGTATATGCAACCAAGTCATCAATTACGTACAAAGAGGGTCACCTATATTAATATGTTTAGGGAGTAATGAAATAATTAAATTGACCGATAACTTTGTGAAATTAACAGAGTATGACTTAATAAGTATTAAGTACTATTCAAAGATAATCACATTAATTAATAGAATTTAATTAGCTGTTATATTATTCTTTAAGGTCTGCACAATTGCATTTACTACTACAAATAAATAAAACATGTTATGGGTTATTATTGAAGTAACAAACGCATTTGCTATTGAATGTAAATAAAATAGTCAATAATCATTAAAATAAGTAATGTTAAAATAAATTATTGCTTTTTTGTCATTAAAGTTGATCAGATTCAATATCTAGCTGGAAATCCATGATAAAGGAGTTTTATGTTTATTTACATTTTAAAATAAAAAATTGACTGCTTCAAACAGGAATGAAATAATTACTATGATTAAAAAATATGTTTTGTCCCTCAATGTCGTAGAGTCAACGAAATAAGTAACGGAAAATTTAAAAAAAACAAAACAAAAACAAAGCCAGAGTAGGGTCCCATCTAGGTATATGCTTACATGTTCTGACCTGAAATTTTATTAATTTAATTAAAATTATGATCTGTGAAATTTTAAAAGCAGGTAATAAACATTTGCTAGCAACATTATTATGAGCATGTTACACACTATATTTAAAGACACGACCTAAAAAAAAACAATCGGTTAAATATACATATATACATACATATGTGTATTATTTGCATGTTCATGTTCAATGCTGTCCTCTTTTTATAAACAACGATTATTCGGTAAAATTGTTATGAGAAAGTTTAAAAAGAAGTATAATGTAAATTTAACAACAAATTAGGAAATAGAAAGGCTACTTCATAAAAATATTTGAAACCACGTTTCAGTCACTGTTTTATAATTGGTAGAACTGTCTACTATCCTCCATTCTTTCATTTTAATAATAGTTACAAGGACTGCAAAGGTTTCCCACTAGGCAAAATAGACGATTGATACTTTTGTTTAAAACAATGACTAGTCCATAAGTTCCGTTAATTTCGCAACCCTGATCAAGTCTAGTAAATTTCTAGATAGTTCATACACAAGAGTAGCAACTTGCGCGTAAAATCGCGATTTATTGTACCCACCTGATACGATTAACGATTGATTTAGGGATTGCAAATATCCAGGGAACGATGGAAAATTAATAAAACTATCAACAAATTAACGAAAGATGAAAGAATCGAGGGAGAAAATTGCACAAGAAAAAAACTGCCACAAGATGTCTCTCAAGAAATTTTTCATTTTTCGACTAGCACTCCATATAAAACAAATGAACATGTGAAATAAAAGAATGACTTACCTCCGACCCACTGTCCTCTTCGCTTTCTGAAGAATCAGACATAAATCTTCTTCGTTCCGAGTATGTTTCGGTTTCTGATTTTGCAGGGCTGGAATTGGTCGAATTGGGAGTTGACGGCAAATTACCTATATCGCGTTCAACATTCACTTTTTCTATTTTTAGACAATCCGTGGTAGAATCTTGTGCTGCATTCTGCATTTTTGCATTTCCTAAGGATTATCACAAACACAGTTTTTCTGATTTAAATAAACACTTAACTAGATGTATAAATCACGGCTCTGAAACTCATTACATTACTATCACCGTCGCCATCTTCTAAAATGGAGGACACAAAAGCAAATTCCATACCTCGATTTTAGCCCTCTACCCATATCGAAGCGACATCTGTTGCACAATAGCAACATTTATGGAAAGTAGAATGGCGTTAAAATTTAAAATAACTAATCATTTTATTACTATTTCGAAAAGGAATAAACACGCATTTATTGGTAGAATGTATTAAAGAGGAAAATAACACACACAAAATATAATATGATCATAAACGATCTGTTTTATGCATGTATATGAACAATCACTCGTTTGCAGTTGTTAATCACAAAGTTGGCTATGTACTTTTGGCATCAATCTGATATTTAAACAGTTGATTTAGATCGGGCTAATTTTGCAAATGTTTTTATAAAAATAATGATCTCTATAGGTAAATTACAGATTCATGAATAAATGCAAAAAATTTGTAGGAAGTGATAACAAACTGTACACATATTATGTGTAGGTTCATAGTCTCAACACAGGAAATCACATTTATAGAGTTCAATCAAAACAGGCATAAATTATGCGCGTTTAAAAGCGCAGCGCGTTTTAATCGAATCATTTATTGTAATCAAAAAGAACTTTTCTGAACGTGTTACCTTAAAAAGATAATAAATAGTTTTAGATATAGTTTAATAATAAAATAGTTTGTAAATTAAAGCCACGTCACTTCATAAAATAACTCTGCGTACTTTACGTTTTAAGTACCCACAGTCTATCTGTTCAATTGTCTGTATCAATTAAATAAGCAATGTAAGAAAAACAGATGAATAAGTAAAACAAAACGTTCCTCCAATTGTTTAAATATTTCAATGTTTNTCATATATAATAATTAAATTAATCAACTATAATTAACTTTACTGTTATTCCTTTAAACTGTAAATACTATGAGATTGGTAATACATTTTATGTATTCTTGTCTTCACTTTTAATTTGTGATTAATTAATTAAAAGTTCAAATAATCGAAGGATTTTAAAAGCACATTCATTTCATTTCATTTTTATTTATTACTGCAGATTTATATAGAAAGGTCACTGTTGGAGTATTTTGAAATGCGCGGTTTAATATTTCAGTGACATCACAATAGAGCAGGTCAGTATTAGGGAAAATCACAAAATTGACCAGGACCGTTCTTTAATTTATACCAAACAAAAAAGTTTTGAATATTAGTGGTATTTCATATTCACTTAATTAAGTTTTGATCTACGTAACGTGTTTGTTAAAGTATTTGGAAATTGTTTGCTTTCGTAACAAATATAAAATAAAGACATCATCAGAAAAGTTAATATTTATTATTAATTGTAAGAGAAATTATGTACTAATGAACACAAAAATAAATATAATTCAATCTAACTAAATACAACGGAATCGATGCAATTCATTTTTCACAGTAAATAAAATACTGCACAAAATATACATTTCTTTTTCAATAACAAATATTTGTCTATTTGGAAATATGAGTACAAAATGCAGTCCTTTAATTACAAATAATTTACATTTTTACAAAGTAATGTTATAGGATGCTACAACTGAAAAAACAAAATACTACAATGTAATTAAAACCACTTTAAACATAACACATCAGCGTCATTATATGAGAAAAATTAAGTACGTAATTAAGTTTTATATCTAAACAAAAGTTAAGTAGTCGGCATATAAAAGAAGTACACAAACAATTAAACGAAAAAATTCAAAAAACTATTTCAAGAAATGTATTAATAGAGAAAAAAACAACGCTTTTTGTGCTTTTAATATCGACATTGTATCACCGCTGCACCTCCTCACAGTTTAAAGCAAATATTGGTAATTCTATTAATTATCTCGTATTCTCGTTAATTAGTAATATTTATTTCTGGAAATTCTTTATTTAATTTAACGAGCTGGAAATAAAAAGCGATTCAATATAGGAATGGTAAATCAGTGATAAAATTGCTAAATACAATACCTGAGCCTTTTTTATTCTACTACACTTGTACACGTCTAGTGTTTTAAGGAATGGTAACGATAGAGCTGCTTCTCGACAACTTCTTACAGTTATATTAAGTCCTCGTAAGTCCAGAACTTTTAGCTGGGTACATGTTTGTAAAATTGGCTCAAGATTTTCATCAGTTATACTTTTCCAACCGTATATTGCAAGCCTAGAAAATGCAACAAGTTTTAATTTACCATTGATGACCTTTAAGGATTGGGGCCGAAAATGGTATAAAAATGGCTCACATAACAGTTAAATGATTTTAAGATATATAAGACAAGCAAAAAAAAAACAGACGCAAGCAAAGACTGAATTACTTATTTTTGTAAAGATCACTTTGTAGTTTTGAAGGAAAGCTCGATTTTAGAAGGAAAATTTTTAAGAAAAACAGTACTTTTCAAGTTTTGTACATCCTGCAGCCAACTGTTGCAAGGAGTCTTCCGGATCGCAGTGAAAGGGGCCCCCCGTTAACTCCAAAACACGTAAATTTGGACACTTGGCTATCGATCTTAAGCCTTTTGCTCTAACTTTTCTTTTTTCGCATATATACAATTTTTCCATTTGTGGATTATAATTTCCAATTATATCGGCAATTGTGTTTGTCTGGAGATTCGTCGTGTCGGCTTTAATTAATAAGTAATTAAATGGCAGTAATTAGTAATTTTGCAAATAAGAAATACTTACTCAAACTAAGAATTCTTAAACGTTGGTTACTCTTAAGCAATTCTCCTACTATAAACACAGGAACTTCACATAGACAAAATCTTAGATTAGTTAAGTTATGTAATTCTGGCAGTGTTCTAAATGAGCCTTTGCATCTCAGTAAATGTAATTCTATAAAAAAAAACAGTTATTGCAATGATTAACTACATATTAAAAGTTATACTGAGTTACGTACTTCTTAAATTACTACATTTTGAGAGCTGTAAAGATACCTCTTCACTTCTACAATTTTCTACATATAAGGAAACAACACACCCTCCACACTTATTTAATAATCTGTAATGTTTGTTAAGCAAATTAAATAATTATATGATAAGAGTTTAAAGACTATTATGCATAGGTACAGCTGTGTGTAATGTAGAGACCTACTAGAACTTACTTTATGATTTGATTATCAAAATGAGAATAGTCATCTGGTGGTTTTCCCTTATCATAATGCTTGTAAATGATTTGAAGCTTCTTTGGAAATGATATTTTTGAAACATAGGACTCAATATGTTTTGGATGATAAGAATACTAAAATTGAATTTAAAAAACAAGTGTAAATTTTTGGCTTAAGTAAAAGTATACACCTGTTTACCTTTAAACAAACTTTCTGATATAAAATACCATCTTGAGAGGCTAACCAAAAACTCCTACATAGTAGTGCACACTTGGAAATGCTTTGGAAGTCCAAGTACTTAAATATACATAAAACTACCTCATGCTGAAAATAGATAAAGTAATACAATATAATTTGTCCATCTTTGTTTAATAACGATCTTACTGGTAATTTGGCAAAATAATTTGTTGTCTGGCTTGTTATAACCTCCTGGGTTCCAATAACTTGGGACAGTAATTCAGAAACTTTGGATTTTTTTCTGTGAGGCTCTATACCTTCAAATGAACACCTTCGGTTTCCGGATACATTGTTTATGTCGCTCATTATACTATTATAATTAAATTAAAATACTAGTACCTTATTAAAAATATAAACAAGGTTATACGTCAAACAACCAACAAATATTTGGTTTATACATTACCAGGACGTTGAACATTAAAATAAATGGTTTGCTATGTCCTTATAAAATCCATTTTCTTATAAATTATGGAGTAATTCATACTATTATATATTAATTTCTAAAAAATAAATAACATCAATTATACTTGTAAACTACACCAATCACACAAAAATATACTCTATGATTGGGATTTGGAAATGATTTCGAAGGTTGGAAAGCACCTAACCAAAGAGAATTGTATTGATTTTCTATTGCATGTTTTGCAACATTAGTACAGCTGTTTTGAACTGTCAGAAGTTGTTGAACTGTAAAGAACTAAACCATTAAATAAACGTGGAAGGAATTAAGTTTAATATTTGTAGGGTGTATTGACTGCCTTTTTTACTATCGTCACATTAAAATTAAAATTAATGTAACAGCTAGTACGTAACATCAATTGAAAGTGCAGCTAATGTGAATGACTCAGATACAAACAATTACATGGATTTATAACGACTCTTCGTTTTTTAAATAATTGTTTATCTAAAGATATCCTTATAAGTATTTAGTACGTTCTTATTTCAATTCAACAAATGCTTGCTGATATGGCTAGTGTACCTTTAAGAAAGTATAAGAAAGAGAAGAGTGAAGTAAGTGGCTGTTTAAAATATATGATTTTTGGATTTAACGTTTTATTTTGGGTGAGTATTGATCTTCATATAAAAGGCAATAAAGACTTATAACAACATTTGTTTTAGTTGCTAGGTTTGGGAATATTAACTGTTGGTGTATGGGCTTGGAGTGAAAAAGACATTTTTAACAACCTTACAAAAGTTGCCAATATTGCTCTAGATCCTGCATTTATTTTAATGTGTATAGGTATGTATAGTAATTGGATGCTTTTTAATTAAAATAAAAGAGATCAATCATTTTGTGTGGGTGAAATGTGTGGATGAGGTTATTGTTCAAAATAAGGTAAATGTCTTCCAATTTAAATAATTTATTCATGTCATTGCCCCATTAGCTTCCAAAATAGGGCATCAGCAAGGTTAAATTGCATTAAGACAATAGTTAAATATTTAATGAAAAATTACAGGATAATCAGCAATTTCCTCTTTACCACTTAAATGCTTTGAATAAGTGTCTGTAAACTTGTATTATATAATTACTTACTATTAATAGTAATAAAATATTCTAATATTCTAGGCACAATAACATTTATTATTGGTTTTACTGGCTGTGTGGGAGCATTGAGAGAAAATACTTGTTTACTGGCTGCTGTAAGTATTGAAAATTAAGAAATTAAGCCCTTAAGAGATGTTAATTAATGACTTATTTTTTAGTATGCCATTTTCTTGTCAATATTGCTATTACTAGAGATGACCGTAGGCATATTAGGTTTTGTATTCAAAGATTGGGTAGGTTTGAAAACAAATGTGAATTTCAGTTTAAACTTTTGACTATTTTTATATCTTTATGTATTCCAGATAAAGTCTCAAGCAACTGCAGGGTTTCAGGCATTCATTATTCACTATAGAGAAGATCCTGATCAACAGAATTTAATTGACTGGATTCAAGAAGATTGGGTAAATTAATTGTAGAATCATTATTATGATTCTTGTATGCATTGCGTCATTTTATTATAAATCATGTTGTATTCCAGTTGCAGTGCTGTGGTATAGAGGGTCCAAAAGATTGGGATAGAAATAATTATTTTAACTGTTCTTCACGTGAAATTGGCAGTCGTGAAGCCTGTGGTGTACCTTTTTCTTGTTGCAAACGGAAACCAAATGTAATTATTTCTATATAAGTATTTTTTAACTTTTTTTTTGTAATTTACCAATAACACACTTATTGTAATGTATATTTATAAATTTTCTTTTTAGGAAATTATTAAGAACAAACAGTGTGGCTATGACGTGCGAAAGCCTGGCTTTGTAAGTAGTTTTTTTGTTTATTTAGTAATTGTTTGGGGATAATATAATAATTTAGAATAAAATTTCAGTTAAAGAGTTGCAGTAGATATTGGTGTCAATTCATTTTAGTAACTGAATATAAAGGGGACTACTAATGTAACTATGGGTTGAATGTCTCATATAATTAATATTAATTGTGCATGTAGTGTAATATAACATTTTTGCTAACATAATGAAAGATTAACTTGTGGAAAACGCCTTTGATTAATATTTCAATACAATACTTTTGAATGCAGCCTGGAGATCGTCACATATTTGAAAGGGGTTGTTTAAGAGCTGGGGAGGAATGGATAGAGGGGAATTTAGTTCCCGTAGCAGGTGTAACTGTTGGAATTATGGTTCTCCAGGTATAACTAACGATTGCATGGCCTTGTTACTTTTTGCTTGCTTATCTCACAAAATTTTGCATGATTACTGTGAGACATTTTATTTTCAAATACTAACACAACATGCGATTAAAAGTAATATAAAAAAAGGTAAGTGACGCATGTGGTATAAAGAAATTAATTTTTTAAATCGTTTTCGTACACGATATGTTGCTTTGTATGTATGTAACTCATTTCAGAATTTTGATTCCACAAAAATTATTAACGACAAGGGGTGTTTAGAAGCAGCAGAAGAGTGGGTACAGCGCAACATGATTTCATTAACAACATGTGCATTCTTTGTTCTTTTTGCACAAGTAAGTTTTTTATTTTGCAAAGTATTTTAAATAAACAAAACAATTTTCGACACTATTTATCCTTGTTTTTAACAATATAAAAAATTGGTCACCTTTTTATTATTAAGGAGGAACTGGAGGTAGTTTTAACTTTCTCTGCTGTTGATTTCCTAAATCTTTGAGCAGCTTCAGTTTATCTTTAAAAAATTAAATAAACGTTTAATAACTGTAGGATAATATCCCAACAAATTTTCAAGGTAAATAAACATAATAAAATATCTTTTTAAATGCATTCATTCTATGTTAATGCTTTGAAATGTTGCATGAAAAATGTTGTTTTTATTATTTTCATTACAATGAACGGCAATATTTATGCATTGTTCTTTTATGTGACATTATTTTTTACGAGTTTCGCAGTTTTGCTACAATAAGAAAATATAAATTTTTTAATGAATTTGTATTTTTGCAGATATTAGGGATTTGCTTTGCTCAGAATCTGAGAGCAGATATTTTCGCTCAGAAAGCGAAATGGCACTGACAATCAAGAATTCCCGTAGCTGTGTAGTATAATATGGGATATTATGCAGCATGGGACACCAATATGTTATTATCGACTCGCAGTTTGAACCAAAATGATATTGCAACTTGTAATTAATAAGTTATTTATATGCTCGTTGATTTATTATGTCCGCGCGAATGTAAATGTGTGTATACATTGAATTGCAAAGTGATTTTAACAGTTTTAAGAAATAATCAGCGAGATTGATTGGTTTGATCTTTAAGTACTGTTTGTTAGAGCTGGCATATTTTTGTAATTCGCTGTGCTATTCAATTAATGTTCCAATGTATTGTATCAATTATTGTTCAAAGTAATATATAAGGACTTTTTTCTTAATTAGTGATGTGTGACTGATTTAATAAGTCATTATTTTGTATAAAGGACATAATTGTACGAAAATGCCCCCTATAAGAGTGAGTAATAAGTTTTAAAAGAATTTTATTGTTTTACTTTTTCTTGTACTTATTGTAATAATTTATAACATTTAGAATCACTTCAATAGTTAAACACGAATAGTTTGATGATTAAATTAGGTCATTTTTGAAAGTTTACTATTTTATTTGTACTTGTACTATTATTATTGATTTATTTCGTTTTATAGAAAATACATCGATGGTACTGAGAAAATACAAAAATTTGCCAATTGTGTTTAACTATTGGAGTAATTTTAAATGTTATAAAGTATTAGTATAAGTATAATGAACGATAAAAAAAAAATAAAAGTTACTTTTGAAATACTTATTAAACTCACTGTTTATTTTTTCTCTAAAAATATTGCATATCCAATTTTTTTAAACTATGCTAGCTTCCTGTTTAACGCCCAATTTGCGTAATTAATGTTTTATTCAGTCAGCAAGAACGAAATCAGATACTACATAAATATTCTAATAAACATTAAGTATTAATGACGACATAAAATTTATTTTTCTATTGTCTAATTATCATCAAAACTAATATGACAAACAAATAAACATATTTATTGTTCACGTAAATTTGTGTAGATGATATAATACATTTATTTGATTTATGTTTTTAGCTATTTTTGTGAACAAACAATAATTTCTCATACTTTTAGTTAAATTATTAATTATGCTTTGATAAGGGATGCAACTACTTATCTTTCTTAGATATTCTCCATTCTTCTTCCTAACTTTTCCGTACTATTTATTTCGAAATTTTGCACTGTTATTTTAAAAAAATACGACAAATTGTAAATATAATAATAATTTTTTCTCTTTTTAAGTTAGTAACTTTTTTTGTATAAAACAGGGATTGATTCTTGTAAACCTGTCAGGTCAAAATAATATAAACTATAAATGTTAAAAAAAAACTAAATTGTCATACATGTTATTCGCTTTTAATCGTACCTATACATTCCCCTATTTAGTACAATTTTGCCTAGATTAATGTATTGTATTTTATTCTCTAATAATTTGTTTAACTCTTAGCCTATTCCTGGTCAAATTTTATCAGCATATTGTAAAATGCTAAAGATTTATTAATTGTTTCAACGTTGTAATGCTACTGTTGTTAATTAAAATTTGTGATAAACTTTTACATTTGTAAGTCTTGATATTAATTGTATTACAATTTGTAACTACATAAAGTGTATCAGTATTTAGTCCTATGGTTGTGCAGCCCTGCTGCCAATAATTATTGTACAATTGAACAATTTTGTATTCTACAAAACATGACAAGAAATATATGGCGTTTACATATTAATAATTCTTTTATTTCTCATTACACGAATATTATTATTAAAGATAACTAAAATTAATTTAATCATTATTCTCAGAGCTTAGTAAATACCTTCCAACTCCATCTAATTTCTTCTTTTATATTTAATATATTTTCATAACATATTCCTATGTTGAAGTGTACGATGTGTTGCATACCTATTTACGAACAATTCTTTTAAATTTTAATCATTGATTACTATCTATGATCTATTAAAAAACCATAATGGCCGACATCAGTAACAATGCGACAACAATTGAAAAAGAATGATGGCCGACAACTGCAACAATTAGAAAAGAATGATGGCCGACATTACGTCATAATGGCCGACATCAGTAACAATGCGACAACAATTGAAAAAGAATGATGGCCGACAACTGCAACAATTAGAAAAGAATGATGGCCGTCACTACGTCACAGTGGAGCAATAAAAATGGCCGGTGGCTGGGGGAAGAACTATTAGTTTTTAACAGAAATAATGCCGCATAGTACGAATTTGATATCGCACTCGAAAACTCTTGACACCATGAAATTCTACGTACCTTTCTACATATTTATCATTTCTAAAAGTTTAGTAAATACCTTCCATTTCCCAATAGCTTTACGAGCGCTCTTTTATATTTAAATTAAATTATTATATTGTGACATTTGCAGGCAACCCAACGTACAGTGTCACCAAAATTTAGCAGAAATAGTGTCGGACAGCACCAAGTTAACAACGGACACGAAAACCAATGATATTATGAGATTCTACGTACTTTTTTTATATAATTTTCAGTTCTTAGAGCTTATTAAATAACCTTCCATCTGCCTATAATTTCATGAGCGCTTTTTTATGTTGAATTTAATATGAGATATTTTGCAAAAAAATATTCCCGAAAGTATCTATTTGGCAACGCACTTGAAAACCGTTGGTACCATGAGATTCTACGTACTTTTATACATAATTATCAGTTCTTAGAGCTTAGTAAATACCTTCCATCTACCAATAATTTCACGAGCGCTTGTTTATGTTGAATTTAATTTGAGATATTTTTCAAACAATTACACCGGGAAGTATCTATTTGGCAACGCACACGAAAACCGATGGCACCATGAGATTCTACGTACTTTTATACATAATTATCAGTTCTTAGAGCTTAGTAAATAGCTTCCATCTACCTATAATTTCACGAGCGCTTTTTTATGTTGAATTTAATATGAGATAATTTTGCAAAAAATTACGCCGGAAAGTATCTATTTGGCAACGCACACGAAAACCGATGGCACCATGAGATTGTACGTACTTTTATACATAATTATCAGTTCTTAGAGCTTAGTAAATACCTTCCATCTACTTATAATTACACGAGCGCGTTTTTATTTTGAATTTAATATGATATATTTTGCAAAAAAATATTCCCGAAAGTATCTATTTGCCAACGCACTTGAAAACCGTTGGTACCATAAGATTGTACGTACTTTTATACATAATTATCAGTTCTTAGAGCTTAGTAAATAGCTTTCATCTACCTATAATTTCACGAGCGCTTTTTTATGTTGAATTTAATATGAGATAATTTTGCAAAAAATTACGCCGGAAAGTATCTATTTGGCAACGCACACGAAAACCGATGGCACCATGAGATTGTACGTACTTTTATACATAATTATCAGTTCTTAGAGGTTAGTAAATACATTCCATCTACCTATAATTTCACGAGCGCTTTTTTATGTTGAATTTAATATGATATATAGTATTTTGCAAAAAAATACTCCCGAAAGTATCTATTTGGCAACGCACTTGAAAACCGTTGGCACCATGAGATTCTACGTACTTTTATACATAATTATCAGTTCTGAGAGCTTAATAAATACCATTCATCTTCCAATACTTTTACGAGCGCTTTTTTATGTTTAAATAAATTACCAATTCAAATTAAAGTCAAAATTAGCCAAGACGAAGATATAGATCAAAATACAGTTGAAACTAAAAGTAAAACTAGCAAATTTAAAGGGGTGCAAGAAAATTGTCAATATAGAGTGCAGAACGGAGATACAAGTTATTACAATTTTACTTTACTGGGTAATAAAAATCAATGGAGTCATATAAATCCTTTATTAACAAAATGGGTAACAATTCCTCTAAGTCTTTTTCTATATATTTCATTACTTTGAACTTCAGCAGATGTAAAATGTTTGCCTACATCTTTATTGTCTTTAGCAAGTTCAGTCATATCTAACGCTACAGCATGATTTGGATTGTAATACATATTTATTAACGAGCACGCCACTGCAAAACCGAACCTGGCATACTTTCGCCAGTGATTCTGTAAAGTAGAAAATGGGAAAACTTTTTCTACGTCAGTTTCGAGATCTGAAAGCGCAGAAGCCAAAGTGTTGTGATATAATTTCAAGTAGTAGTCCAAATTGTCGAAAACTTCCTGAGGTCCATTACAATATAAGAAATAACTCATATCGATTACGGGTGATGATAGTCTTGAGCATTGCCAATCCAGAAATTTCATTTGTTTCAATGAATCAGGCTGAGATGGATCCTAAACAAAAGATATCAGATTTTATACGACTCTGGTTCTTCACCCAGATATAAAGAAATTTGGATTCATTTCTCAATAACAGAAAAGTTAAACAAATACGTTTAAGGGGATGTGTCCTTTTATATGTAGGTATATTACAATTACTTCTTTCAACAACAAAAGAAGGTATTAGAAGGAGTAGGAAATCAATTGTGGACACCCTCCTAGCCGTGAAGGGCTAGTTGGATATAAGTTCAATTGGTATTTTGAAGAAACAATCTTTTGAAATATTTTGTTATGTTATTTTAATACGTTTTATATTTGAATTTGATTGGATAATTTTTAATTAAACGGTAAATAACCTCTAGGACCAAAACATTCGCGAAAGAGTTCCAAAAGCGTTTATTGATTTGAATCAATCAATCTGAAGGAATTTTGTCTTACATACCTCAAACTTTAACATAAAATTGTTGCACCAACTGTCTCCATGAATTATGACGACCTTGTCGTTATCTTCAATTGCATGGCCCATAACGATTGGTTCAATTCCATTTTCTATAAAGTTGTCAAGTGCTTCGCAAATTTTTTTATCCTCAACGGGATCGAATAAGTTCATAGCGTATTTCACATTCATTGTTAACGAGTGTAGAAATGATGGGGTGGTTTCAAAGAAATTGGTAAGTACGTTGACATGAAGTTTTTTCGCCAAATCATCAAACTCATCAGGTTTCTGGTCTCGAAAAGCAAAGGAAAGAGCGTGATACTTGGCAGTTTCTTTGAGAATAAATTCGACACATTTCGTCGTCATTGGTTTCGTTTTATCCCAAAGAACGAAACCGCTCTTTGTTAGGTCTTCAAATACCAAAAATTCGTTATCGTAAATTGCGGAACTCCTGTAGCATTTTACAGTACTTTGAAATGGGTCTGTCACCAATTTTTCTTTTTGAAACTTAAGGTAATTAGGCAGCACTTCTTCATACATTGCAATCTCGTTAACGAATATGTCCCGAATTGGGACTGCTTCCCGTGAATCCTTCGGAGCAGATTTTAAGAACAAGTGGAGTGTTTTGCGTGTAGTTCCATTACCAGTTTCTTCAATTATAATTGTACTAGGTATTCCAAGGTATCCTCCCCTTGTTGTGTCAGAAATCACCACTTTCGGTTTGACTATATTGTTCTCCTTTGCGATTTGTTCGATAATCTCACTAAGCACATTTTCTGATTCGCTCATCTTGAACATCAACGTTGAAATAAACTGTTCGTGTAGATGAGCAGATATTTAAAACGTAATGGGTGACATTGCAACAAATTGAAGTTTCAATGAAACCGTTTTGTTGCACAACATATTAAATTACTGCGTATGTATGTATGTAAATAATAAACATAGTCAAGAGGCAGCAAGTACATATATATAAGGTGTTTATAAAAGGTTGCATTATTATATTCGTAAAAAGCATTTTATCTTTCTATTTAATGATTAAATTGACAATCAATAAGTAAGTGGTACTTCAGTTGGAATGATAATTAAATAGCTCTTAAAAACTGGAAACTAAAGGCTGATTGAGATCTACAGAAGGCTGGAAAGCGAAAGTGAAATAATGTTTAAGAAAAAGTTAATCAAAAATATGGACACATAATGTTTGTGGAAGATTAAATCTGTAATTATATCCACTTCCTCGTCATCATTTCTAATTTTGATTCTTTTGTATAAATTCTTTTCATTTTCTCTTCCGTGAATCTCAATAAGACCATAACTCCAATTACTCCAACTCCCTTTACATTAAATTCAAAGCTAAAGGCACAGTTTCCTAATTGTCTTAATAGCCCTCGTACTATACAGGTGTCACACAAAATACGAAAATCATTTTCATCTGCCTATGTCATGAAACTAAATATTTGAAACGAAATTGTAAAGTTGTCTTGCATGACACAAAATACTCACACAAAAAAGTAAGCAAACAAGTAAGTTTTAATTTATTTATATAAATACAANTTTTTGAAAGTAAAATGAAAAGAAATGTCCTTTCCCATATCCTTCTAAAGTCGACCTTGATTGTAGAAAAAGTGTCTCAAACTGATACCAATCTTAAGAACTATCAATCTAAGAACTTCATTTCTTATACATCATCAGGATGTATTGTGTCCTAAGGAACAAAAGTCTGCATCTAAGCATCTTGGAAAAGATTTTGTAAAGAAACAGCAAATGTATGACCAAAATTGATCAAGAACAAGATCTCAATATTACATAACGAGCCTTGTACATTGTTTTGGAAATGTAGAGTTGATCTTGAGTTTGCAGGATGTAGTATAGGTATTTTAGTCCTTTGAAGGCTTACTAAATAGGTACTTTCTATGTCCTTATAATTTCACGGGACCTTTCTTTTGTTGGTGTTTCAAGAAAAGTTTTCGTGTTTTGGTTTTGTTCTTTGACAAATTTGCTTTATTCACACTCAATGAAACATGTTAAAAATGGGTTTCTACTTACAATTGGGCAAGGGGACAGTTGATGTCCGAATTAAATCTATTACGTTCTTTTGAACAAAACATTCCTTTCTGCTTCATTAAGCTATCCTAATTAAATAAATAATTATAAATAATTTAATTTTGTTTTGATCTTTATATTTTTTTGTGGAACAGAGATACAAGTTATTACAATTTTACTTTTGACTTTAGTTTCTATTTGTGCTTTACTGGATAATAAATAATTAACACAGTCATATAAATCCTTTATTAACAAAATGAGTAACAATTCCTCCAAGTCTCTTTCTATACATTTCATTACTTTGGACTTCAGCAGATGTAAAATGTTCTTCTACATCTTTATTATCTTTAGAAAGTTCAGTGATATCTAGTGATACAGCATGGCTTGGATTGTAATAAATACTTATTAAAGTACATGCCATTGTAAGACCGAACCTGGCATATTTTCGCCAGTGATTCTGTAAAGTAGAAAATGGGAAAACTTTTTCTACGTCAGTTTCGAGATCTGAAAGCGCAGAAGCCAAAGTGTTGTGATATAATTTCAAGTAGTAGTCCAAATTGTCGAAAACTTCCTGAGGTCCATTACAATATAAGAAATAACTCATATCGATTACGGGTGATGATAGTCTTGAGCATTGCCAATCCAGAAATTTCATTTGCCTCAAGGAATCTGGCTGAGATGGATCCTAAACAAAAGATATCAGATTTTATACGACTCTGGTTCTGCACCCAGATATAAAGAAATTTGGATTCATTTCTCAATAACAGAAAAGTTAAACAAATACGTTTAAGGGGATGTGTCCTTTTATATGTAGGTATATTACAATTACTTCTTTCAACAACAAAAGAAGGTATTAGAAGGAGTAGGAAATCAATTGTGGACACCCTCCTAGCCGTGAAGGGCTAGTTGGATATAAGTTCAATTGGTATTTTGAAGAAACAATCTTTTGAAATATTTTGTTATGTTATTTTAATACGTTTTATATTTGAATTTGATTGGATAATTTTTAATTAAACGGTAAATAACCTCTAGGACCAAAACATTCGCGATAGAGTTCCAAAAGCGTTTATTGATTTGAATCAATCAATCTGAAGGCATTTTGTCTTACATACCTCAAACTTCAACATAAAATTGTTGCACCAACTGTCTCCATGAATTATGACGACCTTGTCGTTATCTTCAATTGAATAGCCCATAACGATTGATTCAATTCCATTTTCTATAAAGTTAGCAAGTATTTCGTAAATCTTTTTATCCTGAACGGGATCAAATAGGTTCAAAGCGCATTTCATATTCGTTGTGTACGATTTTAGAAGTGATGGAATGGTTTCAAAGAATTTAGTAAGTATATTGACATGAAGTATTCTCGCTAAATCATCAAACACATCAGGTTTCTGGTCTCGAAAAGCAAAGGAAAGTGCATGATACTTGGCAGTTTCTTTGAGAATAAATTCAACACATTTCGTAGTCATTGGTTTCGTTTTATCCCAAAGAACGAAACCGCTCTTTGTTAGATCTTCAAATATCAAAAATTCGTTATCGTAAATTGCGGAACTCCGATAGCATTTCACAATACTTTGAAATGGGTCTGTCACAAGCTTTTCTTTTTGGAATTTAAGGAATTCAGTTAACACTTCTTCGTACATTACAATCTCGTTAATGAATGTGTCTCGAATCGGGAGTGTTTCCCGTGAATTCTTCGGAGCAGATTTTAAGAACAAGTGGAGTGGTTTGCGTGTAGTTCCATTACCAGTTTCTTCAACTATAATTGTACTAGGTACTCCAAGGTATCCTCCCCTTGTTGTGTCAGAAATCACCACTTTCGGTTTGACTATATTGTTCTCCTTTGCGATTTGGTCGATAATCTCACTAAGCACATTTTCCGATTCGCTCATCTTGAACATCAACGTTGAAATAAACTGTTCGTCTAGATGAGTATATATTTAAAACTTAATAGGTGACATTGCAACAAATTGAAGTTTAAATGGAACTGTTCCATTGCATAACATTAAATTATTACGAATGTAAATAATAAAGATAGTCAAGAGACAGCATGTTTGAATAAAGCATTTATAAAAATTTACATTATCTGATTTATTCTAAGAGGCAACGAGAAGGATTTAAAGTGGAAAGTTTAAGAAGGAACGAATCAAAAATATGGACATATAATGTTTGTGGAAGATTAAATCTGTAATTATATCCACTTCCTCGTAATCATTTCTAATTTTGATTCTTTTGTATAAATTCTTTTCATTTTCTCTTCCGTGAATCTCAATAAGACCATAACTCCAACTCCCTTTACATTAAATTCAAAGCTAAAGGCACAGTTTCCTAATTGTCTTAATAGCCCTCGTACTATACAGGTGTCACACAAAATACGAAAATCATTTTCATCTGCCTATGTCATGAAACTAAATATTTGAAACGAAATTGTAAAGTTGTCTTGCATGACACAAAATACTCACACAAAAAAGTAAGCAAACAAGTAAGTTTTAATTTATTTATATAAATACAATTGTTGTTACCATATGGTACAAATATTTATGATTAGATAAAACCATTATTCACGAAATGTGTGACAACTCCTCTCATTCTTTTCTTGTACGTTTGATTGTCTAGGATTTCAGAGTTTGCAAACGTTTCTGCAAAATTGCTTCCGCTTTCCATCAATTCGCTAATATTTAAGGCTTCGTTGTGGTTCGGATTGTAGTAAATATTTATTAACGTACAAGCTACTGCGAGACCAAATTTCGCGTATTTGCGCCAATGATTTTTGAAAGTGGAGTATGGAAAAACTTTTTCAACGTCCGTTCCCATGTCTTTCAGAGATGTGCCTAATGTATTATGGTATAATTTCATATAATGTTCTAAATTGTCGAACGCCTCTTGCGGGCCATTACAGTAGAAGAAGTAACTCAAATCAATTACTGGAGATGCCAATCTTGAGAACTGCCAATCTAAGAACTTCATTTCTTCTACATCATCAGGATTATTTGGGTCCTGCAGGACAAAAGTCTACATCTAAACATCTTGCAAAATTTAATGTAAAACAAAAACAAACGCACAACAAAATGACAAAATTGATTTTGTTCTTAGTATTAGTCTTAGAGATTGAGCTTTGCTTATTGTTTTGGAAATATACAGGTGATAACATAAAATAAAAATATTATAGTGTTGGTTGTGATCGTTCAAATGTAATTTTGTTCTCGAGGAATTAAACAATAATTTTCTGTGTTTTTGATCTTAATCTTACAAATTGATCCTTAATTTTGTTTTGCAAAAACAAGTTTTACCCTAAATTGATATTGGTGTTGTCAACTAAACAACTATTGGTATTGTTATTGGTCTTTTGAGTTTTGGCTATTTTCTTGAAAAAGTATATGTAATGCTGACGAAATTATGGTATCAGTAGTTACTATTAATACAAGATCAAAAATAAAAACAATCCTTTGTTTATACAAAAATGAAAATATTGTAGTTACCTTAAATTTGAACATAAAATTATTACACCAACTGTCTCCATGAATAATTACGACATCGTTGCCGCCCGAATTGCCCAAAGCTGTTTCTTTCAAATCGTTTTCCAGAAAATGGTTAAATTTATTGTAAATTTGTTCGTCTGCTCGTGGATCAAAGCATTTTAAAGCGAACTGGGCATTTACAACAAGAGTTTGCAGTATCGATGAGCTTTTACAAAAGTCGTGGAATGCCCTTAGCGAAAGCTTGCTCGTTAATTTGTTAAACACATCAAACCTTTGTTCACGAATTGCGAACGATACTGCGTGATATTTAGCACTTTGTTTAACGACGAATTCGATGCTTTTCTTTGTCATTGGTACGACTTTATCCCATAGGAGAAAGTTGTGCTTGGTTAAATCATCAAAAATGAGAAGTTCCTGGTTTTCTACAGAACAACTCTTGTAGCATTTCGTGATACTTTCAAATGGTTCTTTTACCCCTTTTTCTTTTTGGAATTTAAAAAATGTTGGTAGCACTTCTTCGTACATTGTTATTTCATTGAGGAAGGCGTCCCGGAAAGGGAGGACATCCCTCGAACCCGTTGGAGCTGACTTCAAAAACAGATGAAGCGATTTTCCCTTGCCACCGCTTTTATTGGTTTCTTCTATCGAAATTTTGTGAGGGATTCCCAGGTAACCATTTTTCACAGTTTCAAAAATTGTTGTTTTCGGATTGACGAATTTGTTCTCTTTTGCAATTTCCTTAACCATTTTGTTTAGTAGATTTTCTTGTTGTTCCATGTTTACTTCTTCGCTCAAAAATTGTTTGAAATTGAGGAACCCGGAAATGAACTTGTACGTTTGGATCTGTTCAATGTCAATCTGGTGACTTCTTGAAACGCATTTATTCACTTATCCTATTATATAACCGCAAATTATAGAGACATCATAAATAATAATTACGATGTAGCAAAATACAAATAAATATTGCATTATGAAATTAATTATACGTAGATGAATCAGCAAATTAAGTGTACAAGTCGGGCAGGATTTCTATTATTCATTTGTGCATCGGATGCAACCGAAATTATTTAGGTACAATTTTATTTTTTTTAATTATCATTAGTTAGATAGAATTTAACTTGACAACAAAATTCGAAAGTTTTAAAAAGAATGAGTAGATATACCAATTGTATCCAATATCCATAATATCTAAAATTGTAAGACAAAATGTTGTAAACTTATAATGCCTGTCTTTTATTGAACATTATTAAATAAATTGTAAGAAGGTCAAATGCATAAGTAGTTTGAATTGATGCATATTTAAAGGAAGTAATTGTATGTCATCTTCATTAAATCATAACTTTGCAGTTATTTTCCAATTGACCTAAAGATGTTATAGATTTATTGTTTTTTTATATTCCTCTTCATGAAGAGAAATAATAGATCTATATTACACAATTATAAAGATTATTGTTAAATAAAATTAAATAAATTTTAAATGATTTTCTGTATTGTAGATATGTCCTTTGCGAAAAAATCCTAATTAAAATAAATCACTGCATTTGATAAGTTCATCTTTCTTCCTAATTCATAATTTTGACTTGCAATTGTTAATTTTGGGATACAATTCGATCAATGATTTTTATTTCAATTAACAAGTACGTTTTTGTACAACACTGTATTTCAAAACATTTGTTCTATTGTTAAGCAAGTGGAAACAGGTGCAACTTTGAACAATTTCAAATTCTTTGAAATTTACCTCTTTTTAAGATTTATTTATTTTGCTTTTAAATAATATTGTATGATATTCCCTTATCTGGCAATTTACTTTATCCAATTATTATTATCTAACAAAAGAGCCAGATTTTCCACTACTTATAATTGGTATGTAGAATTAGTCCAATTACTCCAACTCCCTTTACATTAAATTCAAAGCTAAAGGCACAGTTTCCTAATTGTCTTAATAGCCCTCGTACTATACAGGTGTCACACAAAATACGAAAATCATTTTCATCTGCCTATGTCATGAAACTAAATATTTGAAACGAAATTGTAAAGTTGTCTTGCATGACACAAAATACTCACACAAAAAAGTAAGCAAACAAGTAAGTTTTAATTTATTTATATAAATACAATTGTTGTTACCATATGGTACAAATATTTATGATTAGATAAAATCATTATTCACGAAATGTGTGACAACTCCTCTCATTCTTTTCTTGTACGTTTGATTGTCTAGGATTTCAGAGTTTGCAAACGTTTCTGCAAAATTGCTTCCGCTTTCCATCAATTCGCTAATATTTAAGGCTTCGTTGTGGTTCGGATTGTAGTAAATATTTATTAACGTACAAGCTACTGCGAGACCAAATTTCGCGTATTTGCGCCAATGATTTTTGAAAGTGGAGTANATTTAGAAAGTTGAAAATAAATAATAAAAAAATACAAAAACCGGTGATTATACAAATTGTAAACCAAGCCAATTGAGCTTATCTTTTTATTTCAATTGATAGCTCCCAATTTATGCTGTCTTGAAATTAAGTAAAAAAAAATAAAAAAGAGTCAAATTTTACAAAATGTAACAAGTTTATTGATAATAATAAATGAGTATTACATAATAGTCTATTTATTAAATATATTTTACTAAAGCTCTCGTAAATGACACTTAGTTTGGGTAAATACTGATCGTAATTAAATAAAAAAAAAGCATTGTCTAAGAATAAAATGTCAAAACTGACTGTTGGTTGCCTCTTACTAAAACATAAGGGGGTAGGTTTTGCGTAAGTACTTCCAACCATGCCATGTACAGTATTGGTGAGACACTTTCCTTCCTGGGCATGGGTAGCGACCTTAAAAATCACGTTAATATTGATGAAAAACAAACTATATCAACGATTATTAAAATTAATATGGGTATATCAAGTGAGCTGATATGAACTATTGTTTGTGTGATGTTTTTAAAATGAGTTGTAACCGAGTACTCTGTGAGTCAAAATCAGTTGCTCATATTGAAAATATTATGACATTCGTGACCACTTGACCCACTTTTGATCGTCAAAAATGTTGTATAACAGCTACATTGAAGCAAGATGTTTTTAAGATGAGTTTTAACCGAGTACTTTGTGAGACAAAACTCGCTTACTCGCCTTGAAAATATTATGACACTTATGGCCTGTTGACGCACTCTACAGCGTCAAGAATAATCTACAGTAGCTGTACTAAGCCATTGTACGATGCATTTAAGACGAGTTTTAACCGAGTACTTTGTTAGTCAAAACTGAGTTACTTATATCATAAAAATATTATAACATTTGTGACTGGTTGAACCACTTATTATGGTCAAAAATGTTGTATAGCAACTATACTGAATCATTGCGAGATGTTTTTAGAACGAGTTTTAACCGAGTACTTTGTGAGACAGAACTCGCCTACTCGTCTTGAAAATATTATGACACTTATGGCCTGTTGACGCATTCTACAGCGTCAAGAATAATCTACAGTAGCTATACTAAGTTATTGTACGATTAATTTAAGACGAGCTTTAACCGAGTACTTTGTTAGTCAAAACTGAGCTACTTATATCATCAAAATATTATAACATTTGTGACTGGTTGAACCACTTTTTATGGTCAAAAATGTTGTATAGCAACTATACTGAATCATTGCTAGATGTTTTTAAGACGAGTTTTAACCGAGTACTTTGTGAGATAGAACTCGCCTACTTCTCTTGAAAATATTATGGCCTGTTGACGCACTCTACAGCGTCAAAAATAATCTACAGTAGCTACACTAACATTGTACGATGCATTTAAGACGAGCTTTAAGCGAGTACATTATGAGTCAAAATTGAGCTACTTATATCTTAAAAATATTATAACACAAAGTGTAAATATTCTTTTATAGGCATACTTCTATAGACGATAGTCGACTTTTGGGCATCATACATTAAAAGTACTGACGATTTAGGTTTATTTAATTGACGAATTAGTTAGTGTGGTTTATGGTTTTATGAAATGTTTTTAGAAATGTAAAATGTTTTGACTTGTACTTACATTACAACCAAGGATGCTGAGCTGGAATTTTCTAAAAGTAATTCCCTTAAACGTAGCTGCCTGTTTGTTTTTTCTTGCAAAGTCGCTAATTCTAAATCGGTTATAACGCCGTCTGCATAAATAAATTTCAATAACAAATCAAAAACCAAGGAAGTAATAAAATAAATAATAAAATTACCTTCATTTTCACCTTTTTCACTGACACGGAACTTGGCGATTAAATCATTAAAATACTGTATCGTTTCTTCTTTCGGCTTATCAGAAATTTGTACCATTTGAAGGCTGGAATAGTCCAAACGAAATTTGGAAAGCAGATTGGCCATACTAAAAAGAATATTACGTTTGATGGTAAAGTTTTCGTAGGAAAAAAAATATTACTTTCGTTCTTCAGTTTCCAGTTCATTCCTGTTATTAACCAGGGCGAATACCCTCAGTTTACAGGAAGACCAGTTGTTTCTGGTAGAAATTATGTATGGCAATAGCATCGTTAATCCACCATCGTCGTACAACCACCAAACGTCAATGGTTCTTTTCGGTTGTTTCCTAGAAATGATTAATTTAATATATCTTAAGCTTATTAAATAAAAATTATCCTTTTTTAAAACAAATTTCAAATATGGTACAGGAAAAATACCTCCTGAATATGGTTATTTTCTCTAGAACATATCCTGGAATTTGAATGTCACCATTTTGCGATGATAGAATGTGTGCAATAGCTTCATTTCTTTTTCTTTGTTTTTTGTTGGATGAAACATTTGGTGTGTTTTTGAATGGTGCAAAATCTATAAACGTCATTATTAACACATCTGGTATCAATTTAGAAAACACGCAAAGCAATTAAAAAAAAGCATAAAATAACGATAGCATTTTGAATGTCGAAAGCCATATTGGGTTTCTAAACGTTTCACATTACTCCATTTGACTTTCTTGTAGTACAGTGTAAATTGCTTATAAGAGATTCGCATATAAGAGGCATTTGTAGAATATGTCTTTAGGCTTGGGATATAGAGTACTATTAGAGTATTATGACATTTTCATGGAATGGAAGAGGTATTGACAAAACAGTACTGTATGAAAATAAATAAAAGTAAAACAAAAATACTGGTATGCAAGGGAAGAAAAAGTACGGAAAGAGCAAAAATAAAGATAGGAAACGAAAAGTTAGAAGAAAGGGCCGATTCTATGTATTTAGGAAGTCAGATAAGTCAGGACGAAAGGAGTAGTAGTAGATAAAATGCAGATAGCACAGGGTCGAGTCGCCTTTAATAAAAAGAAATCACTTTTATATTCGCGAACGGTTAATTTAGAAATACAAAAAGGTTGTTAAAGGTGAATGTTTGGAGCACGGCGCTGTATGGGTGCGAATCCAAGGACAGTGGGCGCGGCGAAATAGAAAAGGTTAGAAGCATTCGAAATGTTGTGTTACAGGCGAATGATGAGGATACCGTGGATAGAGAAGGTTAGAAATGAAGAGGTATTAGAAAGAATAGGAGAACAGTGGACTCCATGGAAGTCAATAAGAAATAGGCGAGATAAGTTGGTAGGACACCTTCTCAGACATGAAGGTCTAGTCAGAGACATAGAGGCAGAAACGGGAGTTAGGAGGGGTAGAGGTAGACTCAGATAAGATTACTGTTCGCGAATAGTTAAGAACATGGGATGTTCTAGTTTTAGGGAAGTGCGAAGATTACCTCAGGATAGGAAAAAGTGAAGGTGCGTGTCCAACCTGTCTTAGGACTGACGACTTTATGATGATGTATAGGATAGGATTGCGATTATCGTTTAATTAGTAGTAAAAGTTGAAATGAACTTGATTACTACCTAATCAAATCAGCATGCGGAAAACAAAAAACATTGACGTACATTTTAAGACATACTCACTAATACTGGGATGAGAGGACGATACGCTTTCAGGAACGTTGATAAATGATATATCTACATTGGAATCGACACGCATTAAATGAGTTGAGGCTGACGTATGAATGCCCGACGATTGACCGAGTGAAAGATCATTGGATGCGCTGTTAGAAGGATTATCTTCGTCACCCGTAAGCTTACTGTGGTCCAGACCATCTTGAAGACGAAGGATCGCCACTGCGTAGCGATTTTCAAAAGCCGTACTGAAGAAAGAAAATGGAAAATCAAAATTTTCAATATTTGTATTCTAAATTTCCAATTTGAACTAGAACAATATTGCGATGCCATTTAATGGTACCTCCACTTTTAAAATTTTCACTGGGGGAGTACTTACCGAAGGATATTGAAATACGTGACAACGTCCTTATAAGGACAGGTCTTCCAGTCATTCTTGTAGCCCAGCAGCAATACATTAGGAACTAATTTTCCTATTCCAGCCGTTTGAAACAGAGCACTGGCTCCAACATCTCGTTCCACTCCGTCAATAAGAGTATAAAATGCCTTTATTTTATTTTTCCTTAACCAATCATAACCTGCCTTTACTTTCGCTGATCGAGTTCGATAGTCCAAGTGCTCCTGTCAAAAATGTCTAAAGTATTGGATGGACAGACATCTCATATACATACTGCAGTGCCCATTAAAGTACATACATCTTGAACTCTCACTTTTCGTCTACAAAGCAGTTCTTTGCTATTATTTTGGAATTTTTTAATTGTTAATTCCTTATAAATTTGATTTATCGTTTTTATGCGATATATTACAGTTGTCGATAGTACTTTAATGGACACTGACCCGATAAAGAGCAAATAAAGGAAGCGTACATTTGAAATTTCGGCTACCAACAAGAGAGAGTGATTTTTCGTAATTAGATTGGCGAAATCCAACAGCGGAGTCCTTGAAGAAGGTTTGCCGCAGAAAACCATAACCTGGGGCTTGTAATTCTTAACGTGTTCCCCGATATTGATTAGATTGAGTGTGTTAGTTAATGCCGTTTTATATGTTTGAGCTTGGGTGGAAGAACCCCAGTTTACATCTATAAAAGGGAACAATAAAATTAAAGAAAGCCGTTTCTTTATTTGCCGAACGGCCTTTTCTCCAAATTACAAAAAATTAATCAACACCGTAATTATTACAAGAAAGTCCGCTTAACGAACTTTTTATTATTTATTACAGAATGGAAAACCAATAAATATAAAAAGTAAATCTGAAGTATTGGCAAAAGTAAATCAAAAGCAATTGTTTTAGTAAAAAATTTTCTATAAGAGTGTAATTTTCTACATTGTTTGTAAAGGTACATTTTCCGTTTAACCGTTCAAATTTGAGCAAAATGATTTTCATGATAAATATAAAGAAAACAAGTCAGTTTAATGAAAATTATTTCATGTAGAAAAATTAGAATTAACAATTTCAATGTGAATGAAACGAGAATGCATGGGTGCGCACAGAGCCATACAAAATCCATCGCTTCGATTCGATCCACTTGTATACGCTTTAGAATTAATTAACCAACCGATAAAGAAGTAAATAACACGTGCGGCTATGTCCACAAATTTTAATACTTTATCATTCATTTCCGACAACCCGACACTCAACATCCGACACATCCTTAATTCTCTTCTTAATTAAAAAACTGACCCATTTTTCTTCATATACGTTGAAACAAACTTTTGAGTTTTTAATAGTCAAAAAAATATGAAGAGGACAGATACTTAGCTTCGTATTCTTTTCAATCAAAATGGAGCCGTTGATGTAAACAAAATTAATTATTCCACTATGAAATGAAATTTGAAACGATTCGTAGTACCGAAAGCTTTACGTTTTATCTAATTAGAATGTAAAATAGTCCTGGAAAACACTCACCTGGTTTCCTGTAAACAACAACCAAATACAGGCCAAGGATGACAATGAATGTCAGAAGCGATGTCAACCAGCTAATTAGAAACATGATTACGACGCACATAACAAAACCGAATAAACTCAACCAAGTGTTGTAGTACTAAAATTAAAATTAAACAAATTATGTCTTTAAATTTTACATTTGGGGAAAACAACTAGAATACGAATAACAATTTGGTGATATAATATTATTACTATTGTATTGTATGTTATATTTTAATAAAAGCACCTACTCCATACGATTCTGTATAAAATTTTAAGACATTTTCATCTCTTATGTTTTTTCCAACCAGCGTGTATTTACCGCGTAATCAATGATTATAATAATCAACCAATCAGAGTGCTTATTCGTTGCTGCAAGTAGAAGCAAATGAACCGTTCGCTGTCTAGATTTCGCCTGCACCGAGTTGCAGCAAAGAAGAAACGCATTGATTGGTCAGATATTGATTCCTTTAAACAGTAGCGTAGTGTAGAAGGAGGCAAAGAGGACCACAGGCTCCGGGCGGTGCAAATGTAGGGGCGGTAAAAATGATTTCTTTAGTATTAGATCGGGCGGCAAATTAAGGGTTCTCCTCGGGTGGCAGAAATTCACGCTACACCACTGCCTCTACACATTCCGTTATTATTCGATAGGGAGGCGTCGGACCGAAATATTGTAAAAGAAAATTTTTCTTAAAATTTTCCAAAGAATCTGACAGTGCATACAATTTTCTTAAATTATTCTTTGTATAGTCGCAGAACTATCGTTAATGATCAAGAATGGTGTTGGGGGTGTATGGATGTAGAAGTAAATGATAATAACTCACCTTGAACGTGGGCCTCCACCCCAATGGTTTAATGAGCGCCGCGTGGAATGTGCAAAAGTTTATGAGAGCGTAGGATGCCAAGTAGAAGTTTGATATTAGCGGAGCGATCGCATTAAGTTCGGCTGTAATAAACACAAGGCGTTTCTCTCAGACGCATTCGTTTAACAACCAAACAATTTAGTAGTTAGTTAGTTAGTTAATGTCCTTACCAATTAAGAGAAAAGCTGAAGACACAAAGAAGGTCAACACGTATCCTCTGTACGGTTCTCCAGCTTTTCCGTACCCTTTTGAAAAGAATATTAATCCGGGATATATCTTATCTTTTCCAAGAGCTTGTATAAGTCTGGGAACGGACAGTAGATTGGTCAGAGCCGTGCTTAGGGTTGCAGCGAAGCATCCCGCGTAGATAAAAGGTCCCCATGCTGACATCAGTTGCATTATCTGTAGCACAATAACGAACGTATAACATCCCTGATGCATAGGCGGGTAAGCAGTAAAGTGCATGTATCAAATTCATGTGCTTTTAAAGAAATATCAATTTCGTCGCGGAAATCAATCTGTTTCTACTGTTCTAGATTCAATTCGACAAATGCTTTTGAAATTTAAAACTACCAAGAACTATTATCGAAAATAAAAATTGGTAAAATTGGTACGTAACAAGGTAGAAAAACAGCTTTTCTTGTAGTAGAATAATTTATGGTAAATATCGCCTTCCGAAAACGACTGAGGTAAGCGTTCTACTCATACAGATTGATTACCGTTAAATTGTTGAAGTAGTAGCTTAAATCTTCAACGAAATTTGTTAATGTAGGTACTGTTTGCAAAACTGATCACAGATTTACTCTCTGTCGAGTAATTTATGGCAAATATCGCCTTTCGAAACTGACTAGGGTAAACGTTTAATAAATCTATCTATACAGATTGATTACCCTTCAATTGTTGAAGTAGTAGCTCAAATCTTCAATGAAATTTGTTAAAATATACTTCTTGCAAAACTGATTACAGATTTACTCTGTCGAATAATTTATGGCAAATATCGCTTTCCGAAACTGGCTCAGGTGAACGTTCAATAAATCTACTCATACAGATTGATTACCGTTCAATTGTTGAAGTAGTAGCTCAAATCTTCAATGAAATTTGTTAATGTACTGCTTGCAAAACTGATTACAGATTTACTCTCTGTCGAATAATTTATGGTAAATATCGCCTTCCGAAACTGACTCGAGTGTATGTACTCAGTATTTTTAAGTACAATTGCTGCTTACCGTATAACTATTGAAAAGTCCATATTGACAGCTCAAATCTTCAACACAGTTGGTCAATGTACCGTTGGCTAAATCGGTCAAATNTTGACTACAGATCACACAAAGACGTTAGTGGAGTCCCAATTTTCCGCTTACCTATTCCAGCTTGAGCAACAATCCACGCCAGGCGTAGGAAAAGCATTACACCCCAAATGTTGAGAAGACATGGTATCATAACCCCTTGAATCCACCCTAATTTAATACCTTCAGTATGTGTTGTTGCTTCAATTGGAATCTTTTCGTCATTTGTACTACTATTTTCCTGTAATAAAAAGAATAATAATCGTATTCTAGAACAAAAAGCAAAGAGATTGATTTTCCGAATAATTACATCGATAGTTCAACTTTTTATCAAATTTACTAATTCCGATTTTCAATTTTAGATAATTATAAATTCCTTTACACCAAATTCATGTCTTTCTTAAACTCAAATAAGTTGATGCATTTGTGAAAAGCAATATTTTCAGCAAACTTCTTACTTTAACTTACTTCAAAGTTACAATAATTGATTTGTAGAAGTCTATCTGATGCTTCCATTAATCATTATATTAAGATCATTGATCATAGAATCATTAAAACAAGCGTCTCAGTAGTATGTAGTTTGGAATCATTTATTAAGTTAAGTTATGCTAGAAGAATTTTTTTGATGAAAACAAATAATAAATTATGACAGAATCTTCACACGAAATTTGGTGAAAATCAGTAATTATTGTGGTCAAAATTATTAATTATAGCAGCGATACGTAGTGATTTATTTAAATAAATACTCCAATTTCTATAAGTATTTTGTTAAATTGTTTCAAAAAACAATGGACCACCAAGAAGTCCCGGTGAGTGAAGGACATTAGTTTGTTCATGAAATAGGATTGCTAAGTGTGAGTTACTCTAGCGAGAAGTAATTATTCGCGAATATTTAAAGTACATTCATAAAGGTAAACAAAACATGTCAGGCGACTCCACCATTTTTTAAAATATTAATCTATAATTAATTAGATAACTTATTCACCCTTAATAGACACTTACCTTTAAGTCACCAGAAATGTTGGCACCTGCTTGAATTCCTGTTACTGAAGGAAAAAAGATTGCGAAGACTTGAAAAAAATCGTACGTGATACCGTCCTGCGTCCTATAAGCGGAATACCAGTTTTCAGAGAAGGTACTAACTGAAAACAAAAAGGGTATGACGGAAGATGAAAACGAAGACTGTATTAATTATGTATGGAATCGTCTATTAAAATTTTGTTCTTTCCGCATACTAAATACTAACATCAATCATGTTAGCGCCTTATCTTGCCTTTGAAGATTTAGGGTTAGTCTTGTCGTTGGTCTTTCGAATTAAATCTAATCAAAATTTGCATTTCTTATCTAGTGGTTTCACTTTTACATATTACTGTCCAATATCCAGAGAAATACTTGTATTTAAAATGAAAATACAAAATAAAAATATTAGAAGCTTAAAAAGGAGACAGAGAGACATTCCATGAATGTCTTCTAATTCATTAACTGAAGAGAGCGCAAAAAATTCTAAACCCTCTGAAAATAGATAATCTAAAATAATGGATCGATATTGTTTTCCGGGTTCAATATCATGGTCCATGGAATTTTGAAGTTCCAAATTGATATCACCACCTGCCAAATCATTAATTATCGTAGCTTTAGCAAGGAACTACGAAATTCTATGAATTATGACAAAACAATATCGAATTGAGATATACCAGCTGTGTAAAAATGAAAACTACAAGATATTGTGGTGTATAATCCAAAATTCTTAGAAGACGATTCGAAAAACTTCACTTATTGGACGAACCCAAAGCTAAAGAAACTATGGATTCCATTTCTTTCTCTTATTACAATATGTAAAAGATCAGATTTAAAAAACCATTTTGCACATCTCAACCACTATCACTCTTAAGGATTAACTTTTGGTTTTGGTCTCATTCTTGCAAGTCAGTATTTGAACTTGGGTCAATGCCTTATTTATAAATCTATTTTTCGTCATGATCAAGTGACCTAATCCAATACCAATCATTGTATTTTTTACTCACCTGTAAATCCCGTGAATCCTTTCGCAGCTTCGTCGTCACTTTTTGGTCCCATTATCGCTCCAATCATAAAATCGGCCATAGCGCCAAGGATGATGGCGATGAGAAAGTTTTGGGCTTTCGACTCCCATTCCATACCGATGGCACAAATGAGAATCATGACCGCAATCGCTATCACCCCTACGATACGGACGTCGTTGTTTCCACCATCGATAATCTTAAGATCGTGCTCTTTCAGCAGATCGTTCAGCGAGTTACAGAACCCGATGGTGTTCATCGATGCCGATACCGCATTTGCGAACGCAAACACTATCCCCACTGAAGCACCGAATTCCGGACCAAGGGAACGCGATATTATGAAATAAATTCCACCTGGTACGGAGAAAAACACGTTAAATGTTAATGTTAATTAATATTCAACCCTCTGCCTCAAATTAATTAAGAAAAATTGTGTTTGCTTTTACCCTTTGTAGGTACTATCTTCCTTAATAATATATATTAAATATTTTCAATTAAAAGTGCCCCTGTATGTCTGCTTTTAATTGAAAATATCATAAAGGATGAATATTTTCAATGAAAAATACATATTCTTTCGAGTCAAGTAAAATGTTATCAGTTCATTGGTATCAAGCTAAGGATTTCTTACCCCCTTTTACTTCCCCATTTGTACAAATTGCTGACAAGGATAACGTTGTTATAACACAAACAGCCGTTGAAATTGCAATTGTAAGTAACGATTCACCTGTAATAAACAATTACCTATATAAATATAATACTATTTGGATAAAGTAAATGAATGAATCGAATATCTTATTGTGTTATCTTTAAACATTTCTCTTTCTAAAAGTGCAACAACCAATTTTGACTAAAGATCACACAAAGACGTTAGTGGAGTCCCAATTTTCCGCTTACCTATTCCAGCTTGAGCAACAATCCACGCCAGGCGTAGGAAAAGCATTACACCCCAAATGTTGAGAAGACATGGTATCATAACCCCTTGAATCCACCCTAATTTAATACCTTCAGTATGTGTTGTTGCTTCAATTGGAATCTTTTCGTCATTTGTACTACTATTTTCCTGTAATAAAAAGAATAATAATCGTATTCTAGAACAAAAAGCAAAGAGATTGATTTTCCGAATAATTACATCGATAGTTCAACTTTTTATCAAATTTACTAATTCCGATTTTCAATTTTAGATAATTATAAATTCCTTTACACCAAATTCATGTCTTTCTTAAACTCAAATAAGTTGATGCATTTGTGAAAAGCAATATTTTCAGCAAACTTCTTACTTTAACTTACTTCAAAGTTACAATAATTGATTTGTAGAAGTCTATCTGATGCTTCCATTAATCATTATATTAAGATCATTGATCATAGAATCATTAAAACAAGCGTCTCAGTAGTATGTAGTTTGGAATCATTTATTAAGTTAAGTTATGCTAGAAGAATTTTTTTGATGAAAACAAATAATAAATTATGACAGAATCTTCACACGAAATTTGGTGAAAATCAGTAATTATTGTGGTCAAAATTATTAATTATAGCAGCGATACGTAGTGATTTATTTAAATAAATACTCCAATTTCTATAAGTATTTTGTTAAATTGTTTCAAAAAACAATGGACCACCAAGAAGTCCCGGTGAGTGAAGGACATTAGTTTGTTCATGAAATAGGATTGCTAAGTGTGAGTTACTCTAGCGAGAAGTAATTATTCGCCAGGTGATTTCTAATTTTTTTTGGACCATTATTAAATTTTTTGTTATACATAATGTTTTCGTATTTTTTTTTCATTCTCTTCAGTAGTTTCAGTTAACACTAATTTTAATGTGAGTCGAAGAATAGAAATTTTTGGAAATATTGTAGTTATAACATTTTTGTCTGAGAATATTGTTGAACGCTGTGTTATCCAAAAACAGTTGCATCCCTTAACGAATAATTTTGAAGCGTACTTTTCTCAGTGGGGTTTTAGATTACACTTTTATGCTCAAATCAAGCGATTTCATTAAGGATAGCATAAATTTTCATTAAAGGATACTAAAATGTAAAAGAAAATCATCATTACAACCTATGCTTTTTCCAGTTATTCCTGACCAGTAAATTTTCCTAAAATCTACTTACGTTGATGAAACCTTAACTCGACGATACTATTAAGCAAACTTCATCATAAGAATGAAAAAATAAACGTATTCCCTAGGGAGCAGTACGAAAAGGAAACAAAGTTTTATTACCTCCATTGCTTAGTAAATGATCTCAGAAGAAGGGACTAATTTTACAAAAGCTTTCTTTTGTTTTTGTAGCTTGACATTTGATCTTTTTTATACGTATGCATATATGTATACAAGTAAGGCAAAAAGTTCGCTGAACACGTTTCTTTATCGACATTCCATCTTTTCATGTTGCACTAACAAAAATATCAAGTACCATCTTCATACATTAATTCTGTCTTATGTAGAACAGTTCTTCTCTGTTTATCATGTTCTTTACATTGATTCATTTAGGTACCCATATGAATTTTACAAATCAGTTTAGTACTTTTTACTTTTCATAATGATTATAGGAGTTTGCTGGTAATTTGGGCGCGTATTGTAATAACGGGTATATTGACCTTGAATTTAAACTAGGTTTTGAAAGTTTTATCGTACAATTTTTTATGTTGACATAATAACAGTATCAAAAGCTAGAATAATCTAAAGCAGACATTTTCAACGTGAATTGGATTCGATTACATGGACAGTGGGCAAGATTAGTCATCGAAATTATAGAAATCGGGCTTTCAAACAATTAATGGTTAATAGCCGCCATGTTGTATAGTAAAAGGTGACCAAGATGGTGAAAAAGGACCGCCATATTGTTAACAAGAAAACAGTGGCGCTTGCTGCTTTTGGTCATAGACAAATCTGGTAATATATTTAACGTTTTAAACTCTAATAAATATAATAATAATATAAAAGTAAGTAATTAATGTAAACTAACCTTAACTGAACTATTTCTGCCGTGTAATAATTCGCCAATGGATGGCCTTTTTCGCCTTGAGTTTCTGTAATTTTCCAATCGTGGTAAAGCTTCTCTGGTCAACTGGACAAGGGATTTCTTACGGGCTACAGTGTTACCATCCTGCAAACATGTAACAGACGTTCTCGATGGTAGGTCCTTCAGTTCATCTTTGCCCGTATCCTTATCAAAGACCCCATTCTCGTACAATTCTAATGCAACATTGTCTATACCGAGATTAGTGTGCATGTTTTTATTATTGTAATCGCTCGTATTATTTTCTTGAATGTCACTAATAGTAAATCGTCCGTCCATCTTTGTTTGCTCCCTCTTCGTATTCTGCAAGGACCTAGAAAAAAAAATATTTTATAAAGAGTGTTTATATCAAAATTTGTAGACATGATCTATCTGAATTTACATCTACCTGTCAGTTAAAATATTGCTTTGCCAATATCATTACCTATTAAGTACTAACATTTTCATGTCTTATCAACAACTGCAACTTGCGTTAATAGACCATAGTATGTCGAACATTATCTTTCTGGCAGTGGGTATAGGTAATTTCGTAAATACTTATTGAAATTTTTATGATAAGAAATAAACTTTTTTAATGCAGTAGTTTCAAGGTGTTGTTTACAAAACTTATTATTATTACATTTATAAAATAGAGTAAACGTAAAATTATTGTGAGATTGCGTATATGTACAAGTACAAATGTATTTTATAAATGAATAGAAATCTTCACATATTATTTTCTTGTTTGCTTTGTTTTTAATGAAACCAAAAGTAAAACCAAACGTATCGAATCAATTATTAAATGAATCAATCATCAGACTTCGTGCATATTATCCTATTTCAATCGGTAATACGAGTATAATATAAGTAAATGTAATACCTACTTATAGTAATATGATTAATTTGGTATAAATTAATTTATAACTGCGTATATTTGGATATGAAGCTGTAGATTGTTATTACGTATCTATTTATCTGTATTTATTACTAGCAAGTGCGTTATTTTTCTTTAGAACTGAAACATTTTCGTTTTTTCTTGAGTACAAGATACAATAAAACATCAACTTTCTTCCTCTTTTAACTTCTGTTTCTGCTTCTAATGCGTTTCTAACTAGCCTTTCATGTGTGAGAAGGCGTTCTAATAATCTCCTTTCTTTTTTATTAACTCCCATAGTGCTACTCTTTCTAATATCTCCTCATTTCTAAACTTATTCACGATATTTTTAACATACTCTTAAAAATAATAAACTTTAAATTCAAAATTTATACGACCCACGACGTTGATTATAATGAAGCATACAAAACTTAAAACATTTTCTTTCAAACAAAAAAAATTAAATCAAAATCAGTTGATTCGTTTAGGGGCTACGATGCCAAAGACAGACACGCAGATACACGCGTTAATCTTATAACAACCCTCTTTTGTGTCGGGGGTTAAAAAAAATGAATTGATGAATATCAAATTTGGCCATTTATTTTACATATGCATGCAAATACGAGTAAAGCTGATGCTATAATATTTGGTGGACGACAACAATAGGTATATGTTAGAAAAAATATTGTATTTATTAACGAAAAGCAAAAAATTGATTGTGCCTATGGCGTTTCGTTTCGTATAATGCGTTGGTTTTCAGTTTTCAAGACTAGGTATGCCTTTAAAATGGAAGGCTAACTGACAGGTACGGTTTCGGCCGGTTTAAACCTGATAGACCCAGTATAGTCTGGTTTATATCATACTGATATTCTACAGGTGAGTATTTCTCTTTTCTCAAAACAATGCACAGTCAACGTTAAAAATACTGTACCGTCTCAATTAGTAGCTTTTACTAGGTCTTATTGTACAGTTACTTCTTGTATATCTAATCATTTACAGGTTTATTTGAAGAAAGAGACATTTTCATTGCAAATATTACTAAAAAATGAAGCAATTGTACGGATTAATCAAAATTTATCTACATTCACATGACACTTGCGTTTAGATCTAGGTACTGTAAATTAGCAAATGTTTTCTGCCTTGCAGCATAATGGAAATTACAGACGGAATGGGGATTTTTATTAATTATTATGTACTCTAACGTATTAATTACATATGTTTTATTGCGTACTGAATGAAAACATTGTTTACTCCAAAGATACTTTTTTTTTATAGAGGATAAGTTTTATTTAAAAGTATTTCAAGTGTAAACAGCAAAAAAACTATCTGTTTTTAGTAATATAATATAACATATAATCCAACAAGTACATGTAAATGTTAGTTAAATTTTTTCATTCTACAGATTTCTTAGCGTTTAAGTTGACCTACAATCTTTAGTTTTTCTATGGATTTATAATTTTTATTACGTAAGAAATATAAATGTGCATTACATGAAACTTTTTTGTGAGTTTACAATTGAGCATTGAAGAATTTTAACTTTAAGTAAATATTTCTGAAGAAAATTATGTTTTTCCATTTTTAAGTCATGTTATATAAAAACATATTATTAAAAAATAAATAATTGANGATATGTACGGAAAGTGAGGAAAATTTATTTATTATTTTATTAAGATGAAAACAGAAGAAAATTCATGTCTACATGTCATGCATGGATATTTAGTAAAAACGACTAACTAAATTGAAAACAACAGAAAATGCACCGAATAAATATAGATTTAAAATAAATTTCAGGATATAATAATGCTATTGTATTTGATATGAGAAATAGACTTTACCTCTGAAAAATTGGACAAAAATGAAAACATTTGCACTTTAAATTGGTAAACATACAATTTTATGTATATTGTTATAGTTTTATTATAGTTATAAACGCATATATACAAGTGATATACTAGGTCAAGGTAGACAATGAAGATGTTATTCCTTTGTATGTAAATATAGTTTCAATTCAAATATTTTTATGAATTATTTGGAATGAAAATACAGACTAGATATTATTCGGAAAGACATGACAAGAAAAATATCACATCTAACGTATTTGATGTGGGACAAGTAAACAAACAAATCTGGATTTCGAAGCAATCTTATCAAATCAAATATCATGAAATTACCTCAACTGTAAACAAGATACTTATTATATTTGTTAGTATTTAATAAAATAATAAATATATGAAAAGGAAAACCTATTGGAAAACCATCATGAATGAACATCATACGAAATGTCATTAATGTTGTTGACAATTTTTAAAGCTTGATTTTCAAAACAAAAAAGAAAAAACACATTTTTTGTCAGTCATTAAAAATTATAGATATAGTATAGACGTTTTGTTTTACTTATTATCTTTCTTTTTTGTCCTGTTTACATATATTTTTAAAGTTAAAGTCGTACGTACCGTTAATGTATAAAACAAAAGTTGAAGAAACTCATTGTAAAATACTTTTGGTCGTTTCTCTTTGTCACGAAAGTTCAAAACCCGTGCGAAAGCCCCTGGCAACTGGTGGTAAGTCGCGTCACGACGGCGACGCCACTCTAAAAGCTCGCACACCGTTCAAAGGACGCGACGACGTCGAACGCCAGCCCAAAGCACACACGTGCGGTGGATGGAAAACAGAAGATGTGAACGTCCACGAACACGAAATATGAACTGCGCCGGCGATCTTTTGCTTTTTTGTGGATTATTGCGTACTCTTGTTGTTCCAACGTTTACGTACCACGACTGACTGAATCGGAGGAACGAGACGTCGATCATTTTATAAAGAAAGGACCTTGCTTGAATGTATACAATCGTCCACTTAAGCTTTTTTTTTGGTCTGAATCTACAGGGTAACCAAATTAATGCGGTACGGAGCAGTTAAGTAGTTGAATTCCTAAAAAAAGAAAACGGGAACATCTAAATGGGTCCAAACGAAGTACCAGGTAAATCAATTTCTGATTATTACGTTTTGAAACGTCAATATTAAACCCAAAACGGCACGCTATATACTGAAACTGGTTCCGTTTTGATGCAACTTCTACAAAACTAATAAAACTAAGAAAATGAAGATAATACCAGAAGCAATATCAGGTTGACAAGACAAAAACCTGATAGGGACGGTCGTCTAAATCCTGGTCCAATATTAGGAAAAAGTATGGACAAATTCCTGACGTTTAAAAGACCAATATCAATAACTTATAGATATGTGAAACAAAAATCAACCCTTCATTGTTGACAGACTAAAGCACAAAAGAATTTACAAGACCAATGAGCGTCAGTATCTCGCATGCAAAGATGGAAAAAAGGGCGGAAGAACTATTAGGGGAAGATCAATTTGGGTTTAGAAGAAATAGAGGAACGCGGGAGGCTATTCTAGCTTTAAGGGGAAACAATAGAAATGAAGAGATATTAGAAAGAATAGGAGAACAGGGGACTCTATGGTAGTCAATAAGAAATAGGCGGGATGGGTTGGTAGGACATCTTCTCAGGCATAGTCTAGTCAAAGACATACTAGATGCAGAAATGGGAGTTAGAAGGGGTAGAGGTAGACCTATATTAGATTACTGTTTGCAAATAGTTAAGGATGTGGGATGTTCTAGTTTTAGGGAAATGCGAAGATTTACTCAGGATAGGAAAGAGTGGAAGTGCGTGTCAAACCAGTCTTAGAACTGACGACTTTATCATGATGGGGATGATAATGATCACAAAACCAAAATCTTTCTAACAAATGAATTCAAAAGCACTAGGTGAAAGTTGAAACGAAGGGCAATATCTACAGTTTAGGACAAAAATCATCTTGGAATTTTGGACACTGGATAATCACAAATCTGCAGAAATTGAATGTACACTGTTTTTCAAAGGAATTCTTTTTCCAAATAATTTCATGGGTGTAAAACGAAAGATATAGTACAAATGCCGAAAATATTATCATTTCTAAGTCTTCTGATATCTATGATACAAATATAGACTAGTATCTATATTACCCGCCTTATTAATCATATTAATTGAAGTTAAGTATCTTATCACTATGAACGTCGTTATGCAAACGCTACAGAAAAGCTAAACAAATACGCACGTTATCATTTAACCAATATACATATGTATAAAATCTTTTATCATTAATCTAGTATATAGGTACATTTATTCTTTATAACTTATTTACTGGATTAAATAATCAGTTCATGTTACTATGCATTTAAGGAAGGGAACCTAAATATTTATCGTTTCATCCAAAGTAGATTATTTAAAAATTGTCGATTTGGAAGGTGAACTTCACCTTCCTGTTGACTTTCATGAAATTGGAAACTGGAAGAATGTTGTTTTATTTCATTATTTAATCCTTTATATATTAATATTATTCGTTTATTGAATTTCTCGGGAAAAACAAAGTACAATTTCATTGTTTCTGCATTTCACGAAAACAAGAGCAGTCTACATCAACTACCGCAACTAATGCAGCATAATTTATAAAAGAGTTCTTTCTTCGCCAGGATCAAAGGATAATTATGTACCCTTAAATGATAAATCATTCGCCCAAAACACGAAGAATAAGAAATAATTGGCCCCACATTTACAATTGATGTATAAGTATGAATGTAAAATTAGTGTTAATTAGGTGGAGTCTATAATTGTTTAAAATTTATGCGAATGTTTTAGTTTGCATTTTATAAAACTCTGTTGGATTAAACATTGTTATAAATGTGTGTTTTCTTGTGCATTACTCCTACTACATACGTAAGTATGTGTTAATTAATAGCTGTCTAACTAATGCACCTGTTGATTATCACATTTGCATCATCTTAATGTAATATATTCTAATACTTTTTAAATCAAAAGTCTTTGTTACACACTTATCACTGTTGATATCATTAAATTAGAAACATTGTAGTGAAATAGGTTACTTAATACTGTATAATTTCATAACGATTGTAATATTAATCAACAAGTTAAAGTTTTCAGAAGTAATAATAAGTATCTGACAGTGTTCTTCTCAAAAAAAGTCGCGATAATCGCGTAAGTATCATAATTTTTAATGAAATTTTAAATACGCGGCTGTCTTTTGATGATAATATGGTTGTTGTGTTATTAAAACAAAGGATTGTAGGTACTCTAAAGTTTTACGGTTAATTAGCGGCAGGTAATAGCTTTTTAAATGCATTATCGTTAGGTTTGTTACTTATCAAATTACCGAAAGATAAATTATTTGGTTTGAACAGGATCATACCGACTCCTTAGCTGCTTCGTCAACTAAAAAAATATAGAACAAAAGGTAAAAAGATTTTAATCCAGCTTTACTATTGCGTAACAAGTCACACCGTTATTTTCCTGGGATGATGGATGAAAAAGCAAGAATAATACGCAACTTCAAAATCCAGTTTATGCAGTCTTTTGTTCCAAAAAAAAAAGAGCAAAACGGCATGACCTAATTTGATGAAATTTTTTTCAACCCATTTTGACGTTAATACGCTTCGATTGACGCTCTAACAACGAAGCCGATACATTTTTTATATTCCATTTTCTGGGATGTAATAATTGATAATAATAAAATCGATATTTTGCATATGAAAACAGGGTAAAGGTCTAGATGATGGCCCCCACCCCCTTTGGGGGGGATCGAAAGAGGAGATCTCCCCCACCACTGTACCATAAAAAGTTAGTGGGGGTCTCACCCCCATAAAAAGTTATGGGGGTTCAAAGTTAATAAATATGCCAACTTTTATACAGAATTTCTAGGCATGTAAATATTTATAAAGTCATTCTTAAACAATATTTAAAGGTAAAACTAATGAAAAATACATAAAAATATTGAGAAAGTTATATAAAACATTATTTAAATATCTTTATCAATAGAGTAGGTNTCTCTATTTAACTGCGAATATTATTCGTTTTTGTTGTACCGTAAAGTATTCTAAATACTGTCATTTTTATTATTATTTAAATTAATAAGCAAAAGTGTTGTTACAGGGGCGGATGTTGAGCGCCATGCTTACGGTGCTACCAAATGAATTAACATCAAGTGAAGCACCTCTTAAGAAAATCGGCTAATAAAAAGATTATTTTAAACTTCGGAGTGGTTTAAACGAAAAGCGCTATTTTTACCACTCGGAAGTTTGTGGCGAACATAAACATATAACATTGAAAATGAGCGATTGCCCAAGTTTGATATTTTTACTGCCAAAATGCACTCGTTCAGGATACAGTCAAATAATCGTATTGCATTGATTGATCCTATTTCTAACGTTTTGGCCACTGCCGGAATTGAATAATTCTATTAAAAGATGCTGCCGTTTTGACCCGGCCAGTATTGGATAAAAATTAATGAATTAGATTAACTAAACAAGTAGCAAACACTTAATTTTTGTTTATTATATAAAGTCAATTGTTTTGACAATAAACTAGCATTATTACGTTTGGAACAACCTACTTATTAACAACAATAAAAATGAACTAAAGTGCAGAACATTAATCAGAATTTAGAAGTGAAGTTATGCTTTTTGGACAAACGCTAACACACTTTAAAAGTAGACTCAAAGAACACATATCATCTTAGAGAGACATATCAACAAAAATAGAATGTCGTTTGTTTTGCGTTTGAATTAAATAATTTATTGTAGTTACAGCCACTTTTTTTACTCAAAAAAAAGAAAAGAAATTGAGCGATTTTCTTACAATCCTTGCCACATTCCAAGCCTGTGAATTTAAACAAGATGACAACCTTAAACTTGCAATTTCTGTTTTAATTTCAAATTCGTTTGTCCCTTGTACGAGGGTGGATTGATAAGTTTCCGGCCTGACCAAGAAAAACAAGGTTTTTAAAAATTTTTTTTTTTTATTTCTCAACATAATCTCCTCCAAGGCTGATACATTTCTCATAGCGGTGTTCCAGTCTATTAATGCCATCTCTATAGACTGATTCGTCAAGCTCCTCAAAATAACCATTTACAGCTTCGATTACTTCTTCATTGTCCGCAAATCTCTTACCGCCA